ACTCATAACCTGAACCCTGAAACCAAGGCTTAACCCTAAAAAAGCAGTGTCTACCTGTGGGAACCTCTGTTTTTGTTCCCACAGAGATACTAGTCCCCATCAGTTAGTGTGCATTCATTCCCCACCAGGACATAAAAACATTAATAAACACATGGCCGTGCACACACACACACGCAAGATACATGACAGGATTACCAGTATGAGTTTGTTTGTTTTGATGAGAACAATTAAGAGCGATTTGATGAAAGTAACAGGGGAAATACTGTGTGTTATTTCCTTTAGTATTTCTTGTTAGAAAGGACTGTAGGCTGTGGTACTAATACAACCTTTGTACAGTTCACCATACTTCACACACACTTCCTCATTGATGATGGCTACGTACTTTCTGTTTTATTTTCTGTAACTTAATTTAGAGGGACATCAATGGAGGCTCTGAAGCTTCTCCATCCATACCTTTTCTGGCCCTGTAACTTGTATAAACATATCTTTCACATTGCCAGTATTCTCACTGAACACAGCCCAAACAAATTTGAAGGATTTGTAACCTGTACTCATAACATGCTCATAGATTGTCTAAGAGCTCTCATCAACCAACCACCCACTAAACTGAACTTCCGTAAAATGACTCATATGCCTCTTCTGTTTATATGTATATAGGCCTATCCTTTGTGAGCCACAAGAGCAACCCTGAAGTAGTGTTTAAATCCACTAGCTGTGACTTCATCTCTGCCTTTTTACAGACTGTGAGGGTATTCTTCCTTTATCATAGGTATTAAAGTAGAGTCCATTTCATCAAACTAGCTGTGATACTGCTGCAATAGAGGGCAACTACACCATACATACAGGCAGTCAGTTGTTGTCAGTTGCTCCATTCACAGCAGTCATTCATCGAGATGAGAATCAATACAGAAGCTCATTTCAGTTCTCAAAGGAAAACCTTGAACCTTATGTACCCCAAACCTTATATTAACCTTGTACTCCATAACTAGGCAAACTGTAGACTAGGTGTCTCACAATATAAGTACAACAACAATACATTGTCTGTATGACTCATTACATTACCTCAACACAGGAAAAGAAAGAGATTGAGACATCTCATTAATTCATATTTATTATATCGCAGGTAAAGGACATGTTGTGTTTTGCATCAGGAACATGACTCAGTTGATCTCAAATTAAAAATGTCTTGCTCGGGAATAAGTATCAGTGTCCCTGTTGCTTTCTCTTCCTGGCTGAATATTACCAGTTTTTATTTAACAAGTTCTGGCTTATTGTTTAATGGATTTAAGGAAGGCATCCTGGAAATAAATTACAAATTAAGGGTAAAAATAACAAAGCCATGTTTGGGGAAAGAGGACAGGTGTTGTGGTGCATCAAGAAAGCTTTTATTCTGAAGATTGTGACTGGAAGTCATATTGATTATGTCTAGCTTGACTCTGGTCTGAGAGTACACAGACCTTTTGACTCTCCACATTGATAGTACACTAACACAGCCTCCATTACTGTAAAACCATGGGAAACCACAGCATCTTTTAAACATGCTCATATTTCCCACTGCAGTTGGGGAGTTAGGCTATGATGGATTCCAACGAATGTGGAACAGAACTAAAAGCCAAAGACAGTAATAGTGAAAAACACACACGCACGCACACACGAGAACATGTTACTGTATGTGGAATTTATTAATGTGTGTTCAGTATTAAACGTTTTTGATTGTCCTTTTATGATCACTTATAAGAAAATTTTTGTCATTTACTCTGATCGTGTGATTACAGTTTGTTAAAATTGCTGAGTCAAGCTCTTCACAGAACACTGAACTGTAGATCACTTTTCATTGCTTTGACACAAAAACATATTTCAAATTTCATGAACTCCATTTTAAACACTGACATTCCAAACTAAAAATAACACACAAATACTGTACATTAGAGAGCAATTTTCTACATTCTGCTACGTCTACATCTCAAGAGAAAGAAAAATAAATAAAAATGCATGAACTGGCCTTTGGACAATACTGAGTGCCTATTTTCATTCCTTGATGATCTCTATGAATTGATGACACATATGATTTGTGCCAGGTGTGAAAAGGGGGCACGTGAGGCCCCCAGATGAATTATTTTCTTTGTGGAGATGGAAAGTTTATGACTACCTGCCTGATGTCTATGATCAGACGCAGTGAATGTTGGATATCTGGACATATCTGCGGAAGATTGCCAGGGATGGATCAGACATGCAAAAAGATTCTTTCTAAGGTGTATTGCAAGAGAGGACAGACGGTGTGATTTGGATGGAAACTTGTAGCCAAATGCAAAAGGTAGGGTTTGCCAGCACTGCTAAATTTCTATTTCAGTCAGTAGGCTGCTGCATCTGTGTGTCACAGCATCCTCTTATCAGTTTGCTAGCGAACACATTGTTAACACGCAGCCATTGGACACTTCACAGATGGAAAAGACGAGGCAGCTTTTAGAAGTAGACAGAGTAGGAGATAGTTTAGTTCTTGTGGTTTTAATAATGGGGTTGGTCAAAGTTGAGATGCTCCTGTGAGAATGGGGTCTTTTATGTTTGTGCACTCTATTTCTAGTTATACAGTGCCTGTAGGAGATCAGATTAAAGTCCAAGCCTGAAAACACAATAGAATGAGTTTTAAAACCAGCACTGATTTTTGTTGTAAAGGTGATGCAGAGTAAAATTTTGCTTGTGCTTTTTTTAAAAGAAATGTTCTTTCCCATAAGTCTTAAGTCTTTTCATTTGGAATCATCCAATAAAGCCTTAAGATCATGTTTAAAATGGCGCTTACCCAGAGATGTATGTAGGGTATTGGTGTTTCAGTATGAAAAGGACACTGTCATTCACATCTCCCCCATTCACCCACCTATGCATGGGCTTAGAAGGTGCTCCTGAAGTCTGTAATGTTTCTGATTAGAACCTAGACTTCTCAAGGGTTATGTGTTGAAGGAGATCAATTTCTAGGGACTGCTACGGACCCCCTGGGACTTAATATTTATAAATGCAAGTGATCTCCATAGACATTTCCACGTGACTCTGGGCAGTCTATAGCAGAGCAGGGTCTGGATGTGTTTCTGGAGGAAGAATGAGTGCAGATGTTGGCAGAGATGCTCTACAGCTACCAAAAGAGTGGCTTGAAGAAGGAAAATCAATTGGGTCACCCACCAGGGAAGTCTGTCAGCAGCCAAAGACTTTACATGAGCAGTTAATAACTTTGAACAATGTTGTTTAGTGATAACTGTGATACTGCATTAATTGAGGCACCATGTACATTCCAGTAAGATGTAAATGAATTACAATAGTGTTCTGGTACAAGAATGGACCCTGTGATCCAAAGTGTTTTGGCTGCATTTGTGACTTGTCAATGTGGGATTAACTGTTGTGTCGACTCCAAGAGGTAATAATTAAGGTAATTTAATTTTGGCAGTCAAGGCATTACATTTACATTACATTTACTCATTTGGCAGACGCTTTTATCCAAAGCGACTTACATTTGAGGAACAACATACAAGCGTCAACAGAGCATCAAATACAGATCTACAACTGACAATACATACTAGTAGGAGCAGCAATAAATACTAGTAAGAGCTCATAGTACATATCACATCAATGGGGTAAATACCTAGAGAAGGAAGTAAGAGTTAACAAAAAGTGCAATCAATACAAGATCATTGTAGGGGATAGAAGAAGAAGAGCACAGGAAGTGCATGTTAGAGGTTAGGAGTTAGAGGTGTTATAAGAGGAAGTGTTTTCAGAAGAGATGAGTTTTCAAGAGCTTCTTGAAGTTAGAGAGGGACGCCCCTGCTCTAATGGCGTGTGGTAGCTCGTTCCACCATCGTGGTGTCACAGAGGAGAATAGCTGGGACTGGGATTGCTTTGTGTGAAGGGATGGCAGAGCCAGGCGGCGTTTGTTGGAGGAGCGTAGCGGGCGAGAAAGAACGTATGCTTGTATTATGGAGTTTAGGTAGATGGATGCAGACCCAGTAGTCACTCTGTATGCAAGCATTAGTGACTTGAATTTGATTCTGGAGGCCACGTGGAGCCAGTGGAGGTCACTGAGTAATGGAGTGACATGAGTCCTTTTGGGCTGATCAAAAACCAGACGCGCTGCTGCGTTCTGAACCATTTGCAAGGGTTTCACCCTGCTAGGAGGGCATTGAGGCTTACAACTGACAAGGCTGGATTACCAGCAGGATAAAACAGACAACTGCCTAGGTGTCCCAGACCTCCAGGTGCCCGGAAAGCTCCAGGTTCATCGCATGTCAGTGGGTTTTGGTAATTTGATTGACTGCAAATTTGTCAAGGCAGATAAGGCAGGTTGTGAATTGAATGTTGGAAGCCTGGCTTGTATCTGATCATTTGACCATCTGGACATAGTGCATCTAACTTCTAGACAACTTGTAAGAAATTGATAGAAAAATAGATCCAGAAAACTCCAATGGGACCCTGACCCAAGATAAATGCCTTGTCCATTTTGAACATTAAATTTGGCGACTTAACATTGTGTGTGTGTGTGTGTGTGTGTGTGTGTGTGTGTGTGTGTGTGTGTGTGTGTGTGTGTGTGTGTGTGTGAGAGAGAGAGAGAGTGTGTTTCTGTCTTCGGGTGTTCTCTGTTTTCTCTGGTCCTTTAACATTTCAGATTAATTAAAGTGCTTCCTGTCACACACACGAATGAAAGGCATTGCAGTGCACGTCGATTCTGGCTGCGGTTGTGATCATATTGCGGCAAAAACGTGTTTTTCTTTTTTTTCTTCATCTTCTGTGCACCACAACTGTAAAGGTGCTGAAATCAACACTAAAGCCACTGGCAAAATAAGAGGTTGCTGTCCGTGGTGCTGGAGCGCTACTATTTATTATTCACTACATTCACTGTGTTTTTTTGTCATTGGTGGACGCTGAGGTTGTGTCTGCGTGGGGGTGGGGTGGGGGCTCCCTACCGCAGGGAGCGCGGTTGAATCACGGTGCGCGCCTCCGTCGGATCTCCTCTTCCTGCCGTCACACCCACTGCTCGGTGTTGTGGGTTCACCCCGTAGAGAAGGGGAGGACCGACGGCACACACAAGCAACAGAGAGTGCTGCAGTGCGAGCACAGCGGGGGACTCGGAAGCAGAGAGAAAAAAACACATAGCCTACACACACACACACACACACACACCAGCATTTGTCGAAACTTGGTCTATGGAGAGATCTGCAGCGACACCGTAGCGACGCAGGCCGACATGGAAGAGTATTTGCGGAGGGTCCAGAGCAGACTCGGGGTGAGTTGAGAGCCCTCAGCGGCGTTAAAACCAGGTTGTGGGTGTAATGAATGAGACCATGACGGGAAGGATGATACTGCTGTGCTACAGGCTGCGTTCCTGTTGCTGAAAAAGCTCACGGCAAAAAGCAAACAAAAAAGCCTCTCACGTCCCTTCGGTACCCCAAGCACCTGTAGAACGACAATATGACAGTACAGGGGAAAGGAAGGCGTGTTTGGTCCCATACAATAAGCTCGTTGTGCTTACAGGAACATCAGTGTGTGAATTTGAATGAGGAGCTGATTTCTAATGAGGGGGAGGCATGACATCAACAAGTTTAGCCAAAGGCTGTCCTTCCCTGATATGGTTGCTCTGCAGATACTGACTCATAATTTGCATTTGATCCAGGACTGAATATCTAGTCACACATATAAAAGCCTCATGCAAATACTAACTAAATACTAACTTATATAGACTAAATGACTGGAGCCTTTGGGGCACTCATACTTGTATATTATTATAGATTATAAATATGTGGTTATATTATTTTTCTATGTGTCTGTATACAGTCTTGGCCTGTATACATTTGGTCTGTCAGGAGTGCACTGCAACACAGATGTTCACATTAGGGGGTCTGTCATGGATAATGCAGGTACCTTGAGGCTATGGGCTGTAGAGCCCCTAAACCACTCTTTCTACATGTGCTTGTGGCATGACCATATTATCAGTTGCAGTACATGGCCATGACAGTATCTTCCGAAGGTTTTGAGCTATGAACATATATTCTCACGCCCCTCCAAAGAGTATTTGTAATGACTCAGTGCCCAGTTGATATTGGCAGTCCTGCATCTTTGCCTTTATATTTTGGCTGAGTTTAATACTGTGTCTTTTTCATTTTATTGCTCTGGAGAGAATATGCCCAGGCGCCAGTCAATATCGGGAATTGATCAGAAATAACTCCTTGTCTCCTTCTGTTGGCCCCTGAAGAGCACACACACTATTATTCAGTGACTTTCAAATATGAATGATTTTGCTGTTTTGGTTATTGAATCAACCTACAATCAGATCCAAAGAATATTTATTCACATGTGTTTGTCATAGAATTGTAAATGTTCAGATTTCATTTTAACTCACTCCACTTTAGAGAAGCTTGGTCATTCCTTATTCAGCAGTTGACAAAACAATCTCACCTTAAAGTTCATTTAGTAGCTTTTCTAAGAGCTTTCAATCATATCACCTAATCTTCTTGAGCAGATAAAGACGTGTATGTGCAATCTCTTTGTACCTTGTACTGTTTGTCACCACCAGAGTAAGGTCCATATATTGTCCAATAAAGTCCAAACTTTACACTTACAAGAAATTTAGGTAATAATATACTGTATGGGTGATAGTGAGCATATGCACAAAAGCTGATTTGGGGATACTGGAGTAAAAATGTTGACTATGTACCCCAATATGCTCTCATATTTCATACATTGTTGATATTACACAGGATACATGCTTGTGTTTTCATTATTTTCTTGATTAATTATATTTCCAGCAATGCTACAGTATTCAGAATATTCAGTTTATTCATGTAAACAGGTGTCTGTCAGTACAATACAAACATGCATATGAACAGCCTGTCTGGAATGAAATTTAAAGAGGTTAAGGGCTTTTATCTTGGATATAGGGAAGGCTGAGGAGAAGAAAAGATCAAAGAAGCACATTCGCAGATCAGAGCACAGCAGGGTAATTGAGTGATAAGGAGGGCAACTGATGAGTGTTATGGAGGCCGCAGATAAAGTGTAACACATGTCATGATTATCAACCATTTCTCTCTCATGCACACACACACACACCCGGGGCACACAGACATGCTTTATCTCATTCCTCCAAGTACTTTGATGGTTCTCTCTTTTGCTGACCACTCTCTACTTTCTGTCATTCTCCCTCTCTCTCTCACTCACTCTACTCTCTGGATGGCCACCGTCCAGAACATCCATACCTCTAATTGGCCTGGCTCTTAGTGCCTACTGATCCTGTATTTCTTTCTATCTCAGTTTTTCTCTGTATAGCTCCACCGCTCTCCTTCCTTCACTCTCCCATCTTTTGGCGTAGAGCTGAAGCAATGTGCTGAGTGGACTTCCACCATCTGTCCTTCTCAGCCTGCACACTAATACACAAACACACCCAAATAGGGTTTTAGGACCACTTTGATATTTGCTTTTGGCTTTTCTTAGTATAAAAATCATTCCAAAGTATTTAAAAGAATAGGTCAACGCTATGTGGGCGGCGCCCGGTTGCCCCGGTCTTTCTGTGTGGACTTTGCGTGTTCTCTCCGGGTGCTCCGGCTTCCTCCCACCATCCAAAGATATTTCTCCAAAATTGTCCTTAGGTGTGGATGTGAGTGTGAGTGGTTGTTCGTCTATGTGTGGCCCTGCGATGGACTGGCGACCTGTCCAGGGTGTACCCCGCCTTTCACCCAATGTCAGCTGGGATTGGCTCCAGCCCCTGCGACCCAGCCCCTGCGACCCTGTACGCAGGATAAGCAGTTGACGATGGATGGATGGTAAACGCTATGTGTGACTAGGGTGCGCTAACATTACTATTCATCCCAATAAATGTTTACTACAGCACTTAATAAGTGAGATGTTGAAACAAAGGACTAGATGATAAAGGTCCATACTGCCTTCACTGTCTTTCTAGGCATTCCTGTTGTGAAAACGAAGGTTGGCTATGGAAAGTACAATCATTTGAAAAGCAGTAAAAGCATTTATTAGCATGACTGAACCAAAATATAATATAAAAAACTAAATTAACCATCTTTCATAAGTTTAAGTCTGTGGTGATTGTTCCACTAAACATTATTCACAGAAATCAAGTGTTTTCTTCTTTTTTGTGTAAATTATACTCTAAGGCATCCTAGATATATTTGGAAATGAAAAATTCCCAAAAAGTATTAATCTATGGATGTACATTATGTAAATGGTGTTGTTGTGGCTCAGTGGCTGATACACACTGCACAGCAAGAAGAACTTACTTCTCATTCTGAGCCCAGGTTCAGGAGTTATTCTGCCTGTGTTGAGGGGATTTCCTGTGGGGCCTTCACTTTTTTCTCACTGTATAGAGACATTCATTTCAGGTGTTTGTTAGGACTCCCATAGATATGTTTAGTAGAGATGTCGGTGTGTTATGGACTGGTGATTTGCTGATGTGTTTCCTTGACTTCAGTCTGATGTGCTTGGACAGCCTCCAGTTGCTCCAATGGTTGCAAAGACCACAAATGTAAACATTTACTTTTATCAGAATAAATATAAAGGTTGTATTTAACTGCCCCACGGGTTTTACACAAGGACCAGTTACTGTTATTGAGTAAATCTCCTCATTTCAGAGTGAAATTTGGCTGAAAATATACATTGATGCAGCTGGGCATCTAAATTCATAATATATTCCAAACATGGCCTGCGATGACCAAGAGGGGAGAGGAGAGAGGTTGAATGCACTCCAATTGAAGGATATCAGATGGCCAATGCATGCTCGTGCACACGTGCACACGTGCACACACACGCACACTGATATTCTTCCGCTGCAGTATAACAGACACTGAGCGGCCTTTTCTCCTGCTAATGCATCGCTTCCTTTCTATCTAGTATTGATTTGAAGGAACAGGCCTCTTCCCCCTCTCCTTCTCTCTCTCTCACACACCTCCTCTTTCTGTTCCACCTCCAATTTTCTCTTCATAGTGTTCTCTCCCTCCATTTTCCACATCTTTGCCTTAAATTTTCACTCTACTTATTTTCTTTCTTCTCCCTATCAGTTTTTTTTCACCTGTATATCCCCCTTTTTTCCTGTTAATTTTTCTTGAACCTCTTTCATGTGTGACTTATAAATCCGCTGCCCATACTCCTTATATTTCAGCCCCCTTTTTCCTAATTCTCTTCAAAATCTTTGCCCTCCTTCCACCAATTTCACTGCACTCCTTCCTTTCTCATTCTCAGTCTAATCAACAGCGTCTAACCTCTCTCCTCCCCTCCCTCCCTGTGCTTTGGCCTCTCATTTCTTCTCCCCTCATTTCATTTATCCACTTGGCCTCGATAGTGAGGCCCTATGAACAGAAACCAGACATTAACTCCATTCCGTATGCATTATTACCAGTACTTTATTCATCTATCCCCGGCATTAAGCTCCCTTAAATCCCTCGACTCCATTATATATTAGACATGTCAACAAATGTGCTAACTAAGTGTTAGCTTAGCTTCCAGGGTGATATTCGAGAAAGCAGGATTGCTCAATTAAATAAAAGTTAAAAGTCATTGCCATCTGCGGGGCTCAGAATACTATGTTTTGAATGTTTAACCCATTTACTACCCATTTACTTTATTACTTTATTACTACCGGCTGATTTTCTGCTTTCAAATGAGCCATTGACTTCCATCAATTTCTGCGTGTAGTATGAAATTAACAGGCAGAGACCTTTGTTTTTAGATGAAAAGCATCTCATGGAACTCATGGCTTGTGACTGACTCACAATTCATTGTCATTCGATAACGTCTAGCTAGCTGCGCATGTTTCACATGCAAAACAACTGTACACATAGTGACCCATCTTAACCTGGAGATGTGTTAGTATCACTGCTTACAGACAAGAAGGTAGCAGCTGCTGCCAATTAATTTTTGTAATTCCTCCTAAAATGTTATTCTTGATTTCCAGGTTTTATATTCCAACAACATTGCTTGGATATGAACAAAGCTCTTCTGCTCCTTATCCTTTAAAAAAGGACAACAGTACTGTAAAGTACAGTATGCAATTGTAGTAAATGGGCTAAAACATAGAAAACCATTGGTATGTTGCCTGTGATAAGAGGGTTGTGACTGTAATGTTGTCCATTTGGGCTACCTGGGAGAATCTAGCCAGAAAACATGAATAGTCAAATCTTCCTACTGGTCTTTGTCTTTGTAAACTTGCTTCTTCCCCTCCACTGCTCCATCCACATCAGAGCATCCTACAAGCCCATTAAGATGAGCTACAGATTGACAGGATATTCATTGTGTCCACATTTTGTTTCTTGATTAATGGTGCAGGCTGCAGGGCAATGAGTCAGCTTATCTGTTTTAGATACAACTTTATAGATTGACACAGAACAGAGAAAAGCTGAGGTTTTTGTTATATTTTTGTTCCCAATTATCAAACACGATCGCACTTTCAGAGTGTAATTAATGCGGACACACATAGTGCTAATTTCTGTTATGCTGTTATGAATTTCTTAAAAGTTTTTTCTCACAAAGACAAATGTTGAATTTCCAGAGACCCAACCTTTAGATGCGTGGCCCCCCTGTAAGTCTATGTAAAGACCTGTTTTTAAATACCAATGCTGGAATCAGTCTATGAAAGTCAGGAATGGCTTCATAAAATATCTGCTCTATTAAGATCTAATACCAAGACTCAATAAATGAAGGGAGAAACTTAATTTTCTGCCTTTTTCACCCAGAGATGAACGTTTAATCTCTGTAATGGAGCTGTCATTAATGTCCACTTAACATAAATGAGGAGTGTTTGTCTGCATTGTTTAGTGAAATTAATGGAACTCATCACTACGCTGATAAAGCGGGTTACTCTGAGTTAGAAGTGAAAAACTATAGGCAGTTGTTTTGCTGTTACAACTGATTTTGCCTCTAGTGTGGTGCATATTGAATCGTATTCTCTTTCAAGCATGTGGCAAACCTTGCTGCACCGTTATTTAATTTTTAATGCATACTGTTGGTTTTAAAATGCTGTAGTCGCCTAACATAGTTATGCTGGCTCAAGGAGTTTCAAGTGATACGGTTATATCTGCTATCAAATCGAACCTGCATAGTGATGTTACCTGCTTCCTTAGTTGGATGTTGGAAAACAAGAGATTAAGTATCACAGAATGATGTCATGGCAAGCCTTTTTAGAAATATAAAAGCCACCTAGCAATAACCGTGTATGATTGTGTGCATGTTTCCAGGCAGATGCATTAGAGGATCCCATCCATGCTGTTTTAGGCGGACCAGAGCCAGATGTTGACACTGTGGCCGCGACACTGTGCTTAGCACTACACCTCAGCCAGGTAACATGAACTCTGTCTGCTTGTGTGCATGTGTTTTCTACATAAAATGAAGAAGAAAAAAAACGTTTTCAGACGGTTAAAGTCGAAGTGTTCAAGTCGAGTCAGTTTTATCTATAGTTGAGCCAACTCTTATGAAGGATATTGTTACTTAAAAACATGCACTGTGTCCCAAATCCATAATATATACTAAATCTAAATACTATAAACTACAAACTAGATTATAGTATACTGTTTAATACTAATAATAATATTTAGAATACCATAGCATACTGTGTTGTTCGATTATACTGTTCAGCCTATGAAGTTAGCAAACAAATCTGTACTTACACATTGTTGTTGGTTTGATTTGTGTTAATGTTTCATGTTTAGTAGCAGACATTGTGCAAATCACTACTGCTCTGTTTGAGTACCACCTATATGAAAACTGGGAACATTGTTATGGCTTTATCTGGCTGTTTGCCCAATGAACCACTATATTAATGGAAATATACAAAAGATTTAAAGCAGCTGGCATTCAGTAAAAGTGCTACCTTGGCAAATATATCATATGCTAAATGATGAATTGGCAGGGCGGAACAACTAAAATGCATCAAATAAAGTTAAATGTGGTCCACTATGAAAATGCCTTTCACTTCACTTTAGAGATTCATCTGTTCCACTGGGATGCTCTTAAGTTTGAGCCAGTCCCCCTTAGTTTCACTGTGCTCACAAAGATATTTTCACTATAGTGGTAAAACATATTAGTATTCTATATATGGTATACTTTTTGTACATCATGCAATACTGCATTTTATATTTTTAATAAAAAAAAACATGCTAGTAGCTTAACTTTGTGGGAACATCTGACTCCAGGTCTGTTTGTGTCATTTTTAAATGTGTCTGGTGTCATGTACCGTGTGTGTATGTGTGCTCCAGAAGGAACCGTCAGGCGGAGTGTGTGTGCCAGTGCTGAGCGGCCGGCGATGTGACGCTGAGTTGCCCGGGGAGACAGTAAGGTATCTGCATAGGGCGAACATTTGTGAAAGCTCGCTTCTGTGGAGGGAGGATGTAGACCTTGTGAAGCTTCATCACACCGGAAAACTCTCACTCACTCTGCTGAGAGATGGACTGCTGGATAGGTAAACACACTCGCATATGCAAATCATGTTCAAGCACATACACCAGCTTCTAGATAACTTTAGTTAATCCTTAACTCATTTACTGATGAGACACCAGGGATGATATTAAAATCTTACCTGAAAGCAGGTTCTGTAGATTTAGGATGTTTTATATTTCACTGGACCAACAATGATTAATGTGTTTACAGGTGACACTGAAGCACACACACACACACACACACACACACACACACACACACACACATGCAGACCCCAAACATATGCGGACACCGTGGGTTCTGGCTGAGAAGACTGTATTTGCTGATGCAAAAATGAGATTGAGAGTATGTTTGGGTGTGTATCTCAGGCCTGCCTTTTTTCACCACTCATGACCCAAAGGGGAGTTGTATTTATGCAAATACCTCACAATCATCACTCCTTGCCCTGCAGCCATCCATATCTCCTTCACCCCCGTCTTCTGACTCTCCTAGCTCTGAGTATCACACTTTGGAGTCCAGCATCCTGCGAGTGGTCCATCACGACAGGCAGCGGGACGCAGGGGATGATGGGGCATCGTCTGTGGTGACAACAGTCGCCAGGGAGATTCTTCAAGAGGCACCAGAGCACATCGGAGTAGCGCTGGGTGAGACTCTCGGAGGTGAGAGAGGTGCGGGCGCCCCCCCTCCCCCCAGGGGGAGTAATGGGGCGATGAAGGAGGACACACACAAATCCCCTGACATGACTCGCTTAACACCCACCAGGAGAGATGGAGAAAGAGAGAGATGAGGGGTGGTGAGTGTGAGTAAGGGAGAGTGCAGAAAGACACACAGAGTCCCATAGTGTGACTCTTTTGTTACTTAAGTTAGTTTAGTTTGTTAAGTTGTTTCTGTTTTGCCAGGTAGTCATATTTTCCCACTAAAGTAAGAAAAGTTACAAGAAAATAGTAAAAAGTAGAGGGGAAGAGAACAAAACTGTGTCTACTGTATGTATGCATGAGAGGTAAAACTCTCCAGTCTCACTACAGAATGTGTGTCTGTGTTGGTTTTGGTCAAATAATATTAATGATCAATAACATATATATATTATAGATGGTTTACTGCATTGTAATAATTCAAATTACATCAGTTAAACTCCTAAGAGAAAAAACAGAGATGGAGTGGTGAATTTGCAGTGTGTGTGTGTGTGTGTGTGTGTGTGTGTGTGTGTGTGTGTGTGTGTGTGTGTGTGTGTGTGTGTGTGTGTTGTTAAGTCAGTTAAACAGCCTGCAAAACAGGTACTCCAGTTGTCAATGTTTAGCGGCTGTGTAAATGTTGGGCGGGAGACATGACTGATCTCTGTTCAATAACGCTCTGCTGCTTTTTCTCTTTGTCTCTCACTGTGATGTACACATAGTGGAAATGTGAATAATGGTGGATGGAGTGAGAGGAAAGGAGTGAAGTAGAGTCCAGATACACAGACAGAAAAGGGGAGAGCTCTCATATTTCTTAGTGAAAGTTCTTTGGACAGTGCATGGCACTGGCAGGTTCATTGATTACTAAAGAGGCAAATAGCTCAAATCAATTCCTGATCATCATAAGCCCTGTCTGAAGAAATGTTACCAGAGGACATATACAGCTTTAATGACCTTGTATACTGAGCTGGCCACTGGCTATTTATGGCTATTTTAACAATATTTCAGCTTATTTTTAAAAATTATAAATATGCATGAACAGTTGTACTGTGCATTTTATGCAAACTGCATATGTTTGTGTTTTGATTAAAATGACACCAATAGGAAATATGTGATAGCACAACATTTCAAATATTTGATCATTTAATATGATGATCATGATCATCAAATGTTGCCTTTCATTAAATGTGACTGATTTACTAACCACTGTGGGAGCCCAGCGGTGGCACTGTATACAAACAGGGTCTAACTGAATTTCACTAAGAGGACAAAAGTTTTGGCCAGAAGTTTTCGTGTTCTTCCCTGATCTTTGATGGCAAATTTATGTTCAGAAACTTCATTAAAAGTGTGGCATGAGGGAACAATGTTATTTATTGAGTCCAACTCGGCACAAAAGGTTGCAAGGGCATTCTGTAACTAATTACTTTTATTGATCATTATTGATTATTAGTATTGATTGATCATAGCTTACAGTGGCCTTATATGTACATAAAGGTACTAACTAACTACTCAGAAAAAATATCCAGTAAAGAGATAATATATCGCGGGGAAATACAACACTTAATGTAAGTGGCTCTTCGTGGCTTATGACCAAAGTGTGTTGCAGCGCTGTTTATTTGTCCTAAGCCAGACGTTCAGGCTTGTATAAGCAGAAATCATTCATTATTGAACATACATTGAATTCATATGAATTTATGAACAATAGCCAGAGTGTGCATGCTGGATGCACCCATATGTGTTTATGTGTCTACAGAGGCCTTGCGGCTGCAAAGTGAAGCCTTGTGGATCAAACACGGCCGTCGGTCAGCACAACTGGAGGAGATCATGAGATCCTTGGAGCAATGGAGTGATGTCACTGCGGGTCAGCGTGATCTGGCGAAGCTACAAGGTGCGTAGTTGAACATGCAGAGCAGTTGGGCTTGAATTGAACACAGTAGAGTAGACCTTTGGTAATTTGAGGCATATTGTGTTATTTTGTAAAAGGTCATTTAAAATCTTCCCAGTTTATATCATTATAAACAGCATTACATAACAGCTGTAGGGGGCTTTAAACAAAAAAGCAGACACTTTTACCATAATTGGAGGCTCTCTCCATGTTCTGCTGCTGACAGAAGTGTCAGGTCGCCTGATTGCTAGAAGTTCAGTATAATCCCTGTAGTATCACATTTTGCTGACTGGCACATTTTCCAACCTTCAATTATCTCACACTTCTGGAGAGGGCATTGATGCTTGTGTTTTTTTCTGTTTCTGTTGTGAATTGTTTTCTATTCTTTTTGTGTGTGTTTTATATAACTGTTAGTCTGTTTGTGTGTGCTGACTGGATACAGACTTGGAGCAACGGCTGACTGTGGAGCTGAAGGAGTTTTCTGATGGCGAGATGACCATAGCACTCACTTCAGTGACTACAGATAATAATGTAAGTTATTTATCATAATAAAGCTCCAAATGCCTGGTTCTATTTAGTTTCTGTTCAGTCAATTACAACATACATATAAACCAACTGAAATAGTGTTTTTTTAAACATGACTGAATATTTAAATCTTTAAATGTTGAAGAGAGTTTAATTCTAACCTCATTTATTTTATAGTAAATTGAACCCAACTGTGCAAGGCCAAAAACCCAATAAAGAAAAGTTAATTTATCTGAAGCTCAGATGATAAATCATGTTAACTGGAAGAGAGTTTAAGGTTTAAAGACCCTTTTTTCTCATTAACATGTAAAGATTTACAACTTTATTAAATATATTTTAAATGTGTCACATTATATATAATTAATTACATGACAACAACTAAAAATATGTAAATTCATAAGCTTTGTATAAAGATAAAAGAGCAAACATAGAAATACTGGCAAATTAATACACTTATTTCTTATTTAATGGCCTGATCTGCTTGACTGGTGCTTTTTAATATGTCATGGTGATTATATAGGGATATACTGCAGTCCACTTGTCGAATCTTACAAACTAGTCTTTTAAACAAGAGGGAGAGAAAAACTTTGACTTGTTCCTGATAAAACAGAATAAAACACTGTTTCATTTTTTTAAAAGTTACTTTTGATGGCTTTGATGTTTTGGATACACCACACCTGCGCTGTGTCATTTTGGAGAGGTGTTGTTATGTAGAGGAGCCCCTCTGATGTTGTGATGTTCTGCATTTGGATGAGATGCAGATGGAGGCCTGAGAGCCCCCCCTCGATAGCCTAAAATCCAACACACAGACTGAAACATACTCACATTTTCACACACATTCATGGAATGTTTGTGTTGACTTTTCTATCTTTGTCACTCTCTTGTTCATCCTCCTCACATTTCCAGTCTCTCTCTCTCTCACACATACACACACACACACACATACACACACAGAGGGTGCTTTAAGCCTTTAAGCCTACCCCTTGCTTTTCTCCCTGCTGCAACTTCTAATGTATTCACCCCCTCCCACCGCCACTACTACCCCCCTAAAAAATCATTCATTATTTCTTTTATATCTCCTTCTCACTTCCAAAGCCCATTTTTCTCAGCTGGTGCCTAGTGTGTGGTATTAGGCTATGTGTAAAATAAATGATGTCTGTAGCCGTAGGGGTATGGTTCTGCCTCCCCCAGAAAACTACCTAACGTCCAAGGAACATTAAACACCCAGATCCTCGTTTAGCGAATAAATAACCATTCATTTGAATGGCTTTGTCTGTGTGTGAGCACCGGACTTTCTGTGCATATTTTACCAGCACTGTGCCTACATGCTGTGTATCGGGAGCGAGAGAGAGTGAGAAAGAGAGAGAAAGAGAGAGAGCGAGAGAGAGGGCCCATTAGAGACTTAATATAGAATAAATGGCCAGGGGCCTCTGTGTCGCCAGCGGACCCTCCAACTCCACAGCGTCATGGTGGGTTACTAATGACCTGAGATCGGGCTCCAAAATGAACTCCTTATATGCATGTCATTTGCAGTGTGTATATATTATATATTATTTTTTAATTGTGTTTGAAAAGAGAGTAAAACGGTATGAGAGTGTCATTTATTGAAGGGGCTTAGGGAAGTTCTGCCTTAAATGATTCTTTCCAGAAAACTAAATAAATTAGATTCAATTAGTCTTTAATGGTTTATGTGTTATGTGTTTGTTAAAGTGTGTTTTTGTCTGTGTGTGTGTGTGTGTGTGTGTGTGTGTGTGTGTGTGTGTGTGTGTTTGATAGCAGTTAAAGAGGACAGAGTTAAATTTTGGGTAAAAAAATCTGTCTGTGATTGCCTAGTTAGCAGAAGAAAAAGCATCAGTATGTTTGGTGTAACGATATGGACACATCGTATAGACTGACTAATGTATTTCCGTATACTGTACAAACATACATTAGTCAGTCTGTGTGCTCCTCTATTATGGAAGAGAACATTGGGAATGAATGGAGTTTCATTCTTTCAGAATTCACAGCGCCTGTCTGGATGTTTCTGTGTCATTTGCATCTACTCATCAATGTGCACTACATTTGAAACCGTAAGGTCAAAAATCTCTATCAGTTTCTCAAACAATATATCAATTGGCTACTACAACTACTACTTTTGTGCTGTAGTTGCCAAACTACAGCACAAAATACTGATAAAGAATTATCATTTAAAAAAAGTTTCCCATGATGGTGCACATCAGCTACAATTATATAAATTTGTCTATGAGGCTACGTGATGCTTTTTTTGTAATTCAGCCACAGCTGTTTTGAAGGTGTCACATTGCATATAATAGGCTCAGTGGAGATAAATATGTGAAATCAGTATGTTACATATTTGCCATGCAACCTTGTGCTTTGCTTTATTTCATGTAAATATTGTTTCTGTCAGTGTGCCAATAATACTGAGACTTTTTCGGTCAGCGTGTTTGTTGTTTAGTTCACACTGCACATACTTGCCCTTGCTACAGTTGCAGCTATTACTGAGCGTGTTCTCTTATTGCTGCAGTCCATGCATGTTGTAACTACTATCTACTTCTTACTGTGTGCAGTATTTACAACGCATGTAAAAGATGTAACTGATGTAAGTGCATACGTCTCACAATTACCAGCTTAACTCTCTGAATCTTAGTGAGTGACATAAAGCAAACAACTCATGATTTATCCGCTCCAAATATGTCCGCATTAAAAGCACAGATTGTAATTTCTACTGTAGTCTCACAAACAACCTATGCAAACTATGAGCTTCAGCTGACATTTGGTAAAGTCAGTAAATAAATACACCAGCCGTACTTTATGATTGACACTAAAAGAAGTCCCCATGAGTGGTCATATATCCTTTGAAGTGTGTGTGTTCTGTTTAAAGGGGAACTTAAGGGAAGAATAAAGGTAAATTCTACTTTTAAATGAATACATTTTGTTTTTATTTTTAACAGTGTTTTGTAAAAAATTAAATAAAAAGAAAATCCCTGATAGGTTAGATTTTTGCTTAGATTTCTTTGGCTATAGGTATTTAAAGTTCACAACTTACACAAGAAACATAAGTACTTTGTAAAATCGCCTTTATAATCATTTCTAGTTATTGTTTACATGTACTTTTGTGTGGTAGTTTATTTTTGTCTTATGACAAAAGCGTATTGTGTCTTATGCATCATTTTCTGTATTTGCAGTGTTTATCGGTATATCTCACTGTAGAAAAGTATTCAACCCACACAGTTTGGTATTTACATTTATGATGTCAAGCCAACTGGAACTATATATTTTTTTAAGTCACCAATTTGTCCCTGTGTGCGCTAGAACACTACATTGTGTAATGGACTGGTAGCCACACTGTGTCAGCTAGCAGAAGAGCCACCACAGGAGCCAATAGGGGTCAAGTGTCTGGCTCAAGGGCACACAGTCATTTTGTAGCAATACCTGTAGATGTGAAATATATGACAGTTTGTAGCTAAGTGGATACAAGGTAATAGAGTAGTTGTGAGGCTTTTCTTGCTCGTATGAAATGTTTTCTGTAACACATGAAGCTCGAATTAATAAACACACGAACACACTAAAAACACATTATTCACATATCCATGCTAGTGAGTGTGTGTTTGTGTATCAGAATTATTCATGGCTCACTAATTAACACTGGCAGATGAAGCAATGGTCGGATAAAGAGTTGTCACGCTGTGGAGTTGATGAACTGTGGGAAGGACAGGAGCCCACAGCAGCACACATACGTACACACAGCCGTGAATATGTGAATAATGTGTTAATATGGATATCTAAATGATACAAGATGTTTTTAGAGTTTTCTATCTTTTGCAAGCTATTTCCACTCTTGAGACTGTAGAGAGATGAAAGGTAGGAAAGTAATAAAGTTTAGCATTTTGTTTTGAGCTTGAAATCTCATATGAACACAAGCTAATCCAGTGTTCCACCAGCACATCCAAATGATTCGTAAAGTTTGTTTTTGCTGTGTGGTGAATAAAATCAATCATTTTTTGTTCTGTGTAAGTGTGGCTATAACTGTTTGTATGTTTGTGGATGTGTACATCTGAGTATCTACGTATAGGATAATGCATCTGCATTATCTTAATATTATTTTTGGAGGTTGATTACTATTTTTCCGTTTTCATTGCTATTATGTTTTATGTTGTTTATTTGTTTGTTCTGTTCTTTATTTGCATGTGTGTATGTGTCCATGTCTCCATCTGATGTATGCTTTAGGTTTCATTTTGGCGACGTTGATTGTCTCTAATGTGTTGTTTGTTCACAGTCCTCCGGCCCTTCTGTTTGTTTATGCGGGGCCAGTTTTGCCCTACACCACTTGCACAAATAATTATGCTCGCTAATGAAGGGGCCCGCAGCCATGGCACTCGGTAAATGCCTTTCTGAGGAGAGGCTGTAGGAGACAGCAGGTGCAGGGTGGGCCTCCCAGGGACTAAGATTGAAGACCAGGAAGTCTGGTTGCCCTGCCTCTCCATCCCTCTGTCTTTCTATTCCTTTCTGACTTCCTGGTTCTTTCTGCTGTGACCACTTCAGTTTTGGGGAGATTCAAGTCTTCTGATTCTAAATCTACATGCATAAACATAATATCCTATTTACAGTAGCATGAGATTTGCAGGTGCCATCAGGACACTAAAGCACACATACACATTTCCTAATTCTGTTCAGTGTTGTTTTTCTTGCAGCACTTGATATGGGAATACATTTAGAGTAATGTACACTGGTAAAGATTAAACAAAGATAAATCATTTTGATCTGCTCTGTGAAAATATTTTGCTAGAACTTTGTTTGACTGTAACACACATAATATGAATTGTTTCATATGTTTATTTAAACAGGTTTGGAAAACTGCTGCACAAGACAGTCATTATAATCTATCTTAAGTAACTTGCGCTGATGTTTCTTCCTCATCATCATCCCTTCTGAAACTCTCATTCTTTCTATTCCCCCATTTTCATTCTCCCCCTGTGGCTTCCTCTGGCTTTCAGGGCAAACAAATAAACAAAACAAAACATTTATAGACTCAGTGCTTGCATCTTGGCCCCCAAATCCCTGCACTTAGAGCTGAGTGAATGAAGCATGCCGAGAAGGCCCATGTGAGAAAGACAGACAGAAAGACATTTGGGCTTCTTTCTCTGCAAACTTTTACCCCCCCCTCCAAAAACTTCATAAGCAGTAATACTCTTGTGTACGTATGTGTATGTAAGCGTGTGTGTGCGCATGAGTGTGATCGTAGGACTGTTGGTTTGTGAGCACATTCATGTGTGAGTTTGGCTGTGCATGTGCGTGTGGTAAGTGGTATATGTTGCGCATGTGTGCGTGTATTTGCATGTGTGTGTTTGAGCAGGGTGGTGTCAGCTCGCTCCTTGCCACCCCATTTGCTGTAGCTGTACCGCTGTGATCACAGACAGATGTATAAATCAAACCTCGCTTGATGGATTCATCAGGGTGGCGAAACGATCGCCTGAGAAGAACTCGCAACTCTCTTAGCGTTCTGTGTTCTGACGGAAAGGGTATGCAAAGAGCCTAAATGGATGAACGCTTGATTAATTCTTTGCCAGAGATGTTGGCGACAGCAGGAAATGTGTTTTTGCTTTGACTGTGTTTGCACGGGAATTTGCGCGCGCGGGGCGTGAGTTATGAGGCCTGAGTTTTGTACCTAAGGCTATTGTGCATAATGATGGCAGGTTGGGAGAACTGCAAGCAGCCGCTAAAGACTTGCTACCTGTGGAGCAAAGACAACCAAAGAGAGAGGGTGTGTGTGTGTGTGTGTGTGTGTGTGTGTGTGTGTGTGTGTGTGTGTGTGTGTGTGTCTGTCTGTGTGTATTGGAGCCTAGTGTGGGAGAAAGATATAAAGCTGCAACATATGTGAGAGCAAGAGATGAAGAAGCAAAATGTGACATGGAAACAGAGAGACACAGGTATGGGAAGGATTGGAAACAAATGATATATATATATGGAGAAGAGTTGGATAAAGGAAACATAAAGGCAAGGATGCCCTTAGAACAAAAACAACAGATGCAACACACAAAGTTAGGTTCAATGGACAATAATTCCCCTTTGGTGCACATGTTCTCTGTATGACATGAGACACTGAACATGGGTTCAAACTGCTTTTGACCATTCACACCATCGGTCACTGTTAAAAAACCTGGTAATTCCACAAAGTTCTTTTAGATTTTTCTGTCACTTTTCTGTCATTAAAAATGGCCAATGAAAAGTTGCAGTTATCAGAAATCTTTTGCTGAGGGTTAGAAGAATGTCTGCAAGAGGAGAGAAACTTCTTTTCACATTAGTTTTGCTTCTGTCATAGATGTCTTATTACCACACATCAGGACCACCAAAGTTCCTTAATGGACAGCCTATGATTAAAAAAACAAACAAAGCCAGGTTAGATAGTTTATGTTGACACTATCAGGACTAACAGATTATTTTTCCTTCAGCCACAGGTGTAAAACCTTAATATATGTGTTACTTTACCCATACTTATATGTATTACTGCGCAGTGTTGCACATTTTTTATATATTTTAATATTTCTTTTATTATGATTTTGTTGCTTTTTCTGTGATTTATGTTGAACACTCTGAACACTTCAAAAAGATTGTTTTTCCTTCAAAGTTTGTGTTTTATAGTTTGTGAGTACATTTACATTTACTCATTTGGCAGACGCTTTTATCCAAAGCGACTTACATTTGAGGAACAACATACAAGCATCAACAGAGCATCAAATACAGATCTACAACTGACAATACATACTAGTAAAAGCAGCAATAAATACTAGTAAGAGCTCACAGTACATATCACATCAATGGGGTAGATACCTAGGGAAGGAAGTAAGAGTTAACAAAAAAAGTGCAATCAAGACAAGATAATTGGAAGGGGATAGAAGAAGAAGAGCACAGGAAGTGCATGTTAGAGGTTAGGAGTTAGAGGTGTTATAAGAGGAAGTGTTCTCGGAAGAGATGAGTTTTCAAGAGCTTCTTGAAGTTTAGAGGGACGCCCCTGCTCTGATGGCGTGTGGTAGCTCGTTCCACCATCGTGGTGTCACAGATGAGAACAGCCGAAACTGGGATTGCTTTGTGTGAAGGGATGGCAGAGCCAGGCGGCGTTCGTTGGAGGAGCATATATAGTATAGTATATAGTATAACCCACAAATAATATCTGCTACAACTTTCCTGCTCTTGGTGACAACTAAAATTTTCTAAATACCATTTAAATACCAACTAAAACAAGTATACTTACTGATACTGAGTGATAACAGTACTCCCTTTTTTATTTGCTTTAGATCTTTAGTACTTCAGTGACAAGTGCCATGTTGTTAACAGTATGCTTTTCTCTTGTGAAGTTTAAATAATTATTTAAAATATCTGCTGTAGCAGAATCTCTCTGCTCTTAAATAAAAATGAAAGTTAATAAAAAGTAAGTACAGTGAGGTTTAAAGGGAAAACCCTTTGTTTGTGATTTCTCACCTTACCAAAAGCTCAACAAATGAATGTGTCCGGAGCCTAAGGTTCTTGGAGACAGTTCGCAAGTGGATTTTTATAGCTAATATGTTGGTAATTTATAAGAAAAGGCAATCTGTGTATCTGGGGGTGGTAGAAAGAGGAGGGGCAGGCAATATGAGTAGTAATTTACTCAGTTAAGAGCCAAATGGCAGACAGACTGTCTCCCTGCATGTTATCTTGGAGATTTGCACTCTCCTCGTTTTCTGACTATATTTCTCTGCCTGTGTGTGTGAGTATGTGTGTGTGCAGTTTTGTGTGCATATGCACGCAGTTGGGTAGTAGCTTTAGAGTATCAGCATCATTTGAGCATTTCTTTGTATATTATACTGTAAATCAAGACTTTATTGCTTTACCAGATCTCATATGTTCATGTACTGATATATGTTTGTTCACTGAGATTATAGTAGTTGACTGCAGGCAGAATAATACATGTGTGTATCTGCATGTGTTAGGGTTACATGTGCCCTTACTTGTGTGTTTGCACTATGTGAGTGAATATGTGTGTTTTAACAAATCTTGGGAGGCTTCATTGCACTCATCAGGATATCAGTGTTGAAAAATGGCAGTGTCAGTGAAGTGATAGTTGTGTGTGTGTGTGGGTGTGTGCATATGTACGTGTGTGAGAATTGATGGGCCTGATTCTGACAGCAGCCATATTGTGGAGAGAGAGAAAGATGGGATGAAGGGAGGAACAGGAGGAGGAGTATTGTAGCCTCCTCGTCCTCACAGGTTAATATTGACACAGCCTGGGCAGATACAGCGCCTGCAGCGCTCATCAGTCACTTTCAGTGGACCCATATAAATACACTCACACACAGCCTCAAGCAGAGAGAAGGACCACACAGCACTCAGAAAAAATTCACACACTTTCAAAGTCATCCAGAAACATGGACTATTTGGACAAGTCAGGCAGCATGAACAGAAATGTTTTCAAAAATTCCAGACACACACACATTAATGTCAATCTTGGTATTCCTCTGTTAGCTTTACTGAAACTACAGTATCTTTTTTGTTTAAAAGTTCTACTTAAATAAGCACAACAATTTTGAGAACTTTACAAAACAAACAGTTGTACAACAAATCTAGATTAATCAAGCAAATATGTTTTCTAAAGTATCACTGCACACTTTATGTGTAACCCTGCGTTGCAAATTATGGTTGCCATAACATTGTTGTTAATCATTTCTGAAAGAAAGAACAAGCAAGTTCCCTTGACAAACAAAACAATTAATTAATGCAACTTTCCATCCATCAATCATTGTGCGTGTCACTGAATTACCATAATCTGTGCATGGTGGCTGTTTTAAGAGCAAACAGTTAATTTCCAAATAATAAATCACAAAGTGTCTCTCTACCCCTCTGTGCGCTTTGACAGCTCCGTCTCTCATTGCTACAGATGAAGGCTTACTTGAAACCACTTCAGTTTTAAAAAAAAATGTAATCATATGCGCAATAAAAGGCAGGGGTCTAAAAGTTTCCCATACAGCTTTAACCAGAATGTTAGGAAATGTGTATTAATCACTTTGAGACTATTACAATGAAATGTAACAATTGCTTTTTCTTTAATTAGTTAATTAATAATATAATTTCATAAAAGTTGGATCTATGGGTAACTGCCAAGCAGGTTGCCTTGATCTCACTTTTTCTTTTCTTATCTCTCTTCCAGGACTGGCATAGTTATGTGGATGGGCTGAAATCATTCAGTCATCACCATGGCTATGATGGTCTGGTGGTTCTTTTGTTGATCAATGATACACTTCATCATCCCCACCAGCAAGTGGCTGTCTACTCAAACAACACAGATATCCTAAATCAGGTAAATAAATGTAAGACCACCTACAGCATGTCAGAGTACTAAATGATCGATTGCTCTTGATCTGTCAAGTGAATACATACCTACACATAGCCGCCAGTTAGCTTAGTAGCTCACAACCAGGAAGCAGAGTCTGTTACATATCTTCCCGTTAAATTTCTACTTGTCATTTTTACTCTTTGAGCTTTAGAGGTACTGGTGGGCAGTTTTTCTTGCAGTTGAATGCAGTCATGCTAGCTGTTTCTCTTTGTGCTAAGACAGGATAACCAGCTGGTATCTGTAGCAGCCCCTTAGTGCTTGTGTCCACCAAAGTGCTTTTTGCCAGCTGAAAATGGCAGCTACTCTTCTGAAAACGCCTAGCTGGGAGCGCTAGCATGCGCTTTGGAGGTGCAGCGGGGGGTTTTCGACTGAGACGCTTTGGTTACCATGATACATAATATAGTAAGCTACCTAATTTTACTGGATGTAAAAATGTTGACACCAAGTAGGGTACCAAGTAGGCTTACTCTGGCCCTTGCTCTGGATGAACAGAAGGCCGTATGTGAGTTCATGAGATTTTATGGGTGAGGAAATATCTCGGCGAGTACCGTTGTTTGGTTCAAGAGCCGAGATAGCTCAATTTTGTATTTGCCCCGCCCCTCCTCCACTGTGATTGGACATCTGTGTTTCAACCAATGATGAACATTTTTCAACCCTCGGCGACCAGAAAAAAATGCTAAGCACCCAGCATGGAATCGATGCTCAGCGCCTCGTCACGCTGCAGCTGTTTTTACCATGTTGTAAACACTCAGCTGTCCCATTGCAATGAATTGAAAGAATACACTGGCCTCAGAAACAAAACCTTTAGTGGACAGACGCCCTTATACTGGACAGGCATGAGAGTGGTATCAACCTTCTCATCTCACCTTTGGCAAGAAAGCAAATAAGTACTGTATATTTGCCAAAATGTCCAACTATTGCTTTAAAAACTCAAAACAGAAAAACAGAAAATATTACTACATGATGGCTTTCATTGCAGATCTGCCATGAGTTGGAAGAGTCTTCCAGCTGGTCTCTTTCTGGTGAACTGGAGGTCACAGAGAGTGTCCAGGTATACCACATCCCTATAAACACCTCATTATCTTCTGATACTCCTCCTCTGCTGGTAGAAGAAATACAGGGCATCCTCAAGGACTTTGTTGACAGGCGGAGATCTGTGCTAGCCTGCCACCCCAGCAGTAGGACCTCTTCCACAGATGGAGTTGCAGGCAGTGTGGAGTTCTCCCAGGGATCATCTGGTATCAATGACATGGATAGTTCGGACATAGAAAGACCCGAGGGAGGCAGTGGAGATGTGGTGGCAATAGCAAGGTAATTAGAGGCATCCCTTTAATTTTCTTTTATCCAGTTTCAGTGAAATTCTCACATGAAATCTGATATTGAATATTATTTATTTATGGAGCCAAACATTGACACAATTCAATGACAGTTGTTTTATCTCTGTATAAAGGGTGATGGCAGATGGTGAGGAGGACACGGGAGGTGTAGGAGTTGGTGCTGGCATGGAACTTGTGAGCCCTGACAGCGGGATGACCACCATCCGCAGCAGCCGCTCCTCCAAGGAGAGCTCAGTGTTCCTCAGTGATGACAGCCCAGTCGGTGAGGTTATAGCAGGAGGAGGGCCAGCAGCAGGGCCAGGAGGACTCTTTCTGAGAAATCCCTCTCCCCGGGGGTTGTCATCCCTCTCCCCTCCTGTCCCACCTGAGAGGAGGAAGCACCGCCCTAGCAGAAATAAAAGTGACAACTTTGACCTGTTTAGTTTTGACCCACTTCATAGCAGTGACCACTCTATGCCAACAGGGGTAAGAGGAGATGAAGGAGAAAGAAGAGCAGAGAGCTCCAGCTTTTCAGAACTTGAAGAGCTGAGCTTGCTGGATTTCTCTGCTCCCAGTTCACTGGGCGGGCTTGAAAGTAGAAATTCTTCAATTGACCACCATGGTCAAATTCATGGGAATGACACTGTGGTTCCCCCCACCCCAGTCAACAGTGTGGTAGGTAGCCGTCCACCCAGCAGTTGTGGGGTCAGGTTCTTTCCAGAAGATGTGGTTGAAAGGATCAATGGCCTGCAGCACAAGGACAGTGTATCATCATCGTTGTCAGAGACCTGGGATGAACTTGGCTTTGACACACAAGGAGCATTGTCCTCAAGTGATAATAATGCCTGGAATAGGACCAAGGAAGCTGAGAGCCCACAGAATATTAATGTAGAGGAAGTTATAATGAAAGAGTTAGTTGATGATATGTCAGAACAAGAAAGAAGAGAAGAGCTCTTAAAATCAGAGAATGCCCACCAGAGGGGAAAGAGCCTTGAACCCCAGCTTAGCCTGATCACTGAGCAGACAGACTCATACGACAACTGGAACCCAGATACTGCTCTTAAGGATCACTGGTGCCCTGTTTCTTTGGCTTATCTGCAGTTGACACCACCAGAGGAGGATGTTACTGGAAAATGCAGGGCTGGTATCATTGGGGTTAAAGAAAAAACATCCTCACTTTCAAGAAAGAAAGCAATCATAACCACTTTAACGCCAGACACATCTAAAGAAGAGGATGAAGGGGTTCAAGGGAGAAAAGGAGACACACAGATGGAGCTCCCAGACTTCTGGACGTACTCAGCTCAGAAGGGATTTCTCAAATCAGATAGTGGGACCACCACATCATACCCTGAATCACTAGATATGTGGAATAGGACAATCCGTGATGACAGTCTATCACCTCTCACGACCCCTGATAACTTGTCTCAGAACTCCAATCCCAATACTGGTGCAGGCGCATCTGTGGAAAGTCCACTGGGATTCTCTGATGGTGGAATGGTGATGTGGAACACCACCATACAAGAAGACAGCTCTTCCACAATAACAAGCCCTGAAGGACCTGAAAATGGAAAGGACCTTAGTCACATGGGGTCATTGGATACCAGTGATTCTCCTGAGACACATGCAAGCAAACAAGTGGAAGAAGAAAAATCTATAGAGGAGGAGAGAGGTAAAGTACTTAATCAGAGTCCTGAAGAAATGGGGTGGAGTGGTAATGAACACATTGTGAAAATAGTCATAGAGGCGGCAGAAGGTAGAACACAGGATGAAGAAACAAATGACGATGATATCCATAGTGTTCAGAGCCAACCGTCTGTTATGCAGAACTTGGCAACTGAACATTTTGAAGATGGGACTTCTCCCTATCAAGGTAATGACATGTGGGACCTACCTGTTCCTGGCATGGTCACCTCAACTTCAGAATATGACAATGTAGGAGCTGGTGCTTGGAGCCTGACATCCTCCCCTGATACCTATGCGAGCCCTGTAATAGACATGATACAGCTAGAGGAACAGTCTAGCCCTTTTGTAGCTGTGACAAAGCCTAATGCTGAGAGGCATGATCAATACCGGAAGACTGAACACAGACCAGTAAATCTAGACAAAGAAAAGCCAGCCAACCAGGTGTTCCTATTTGAGGAAACTTGTGAGTTGGGTGACATGATCAGGGGTGGGGAAATTTCAATTAAGAGTAAGCACAACAACAAATGTGCAGGGTCAGAGGAGGCTGATTGGATAGAGCAACCCACTGATAATTCCCCATTTGTTCTGGTGGATTGCTCCACTGTCACTCAGGCCACTTCAGCCAATCATCATTCAAGTCCAGGAGAAGTTGCTGAGACTCAAATCCAGACTGAACATTCATTTTCCCCAAGCCATCTTAATTGGGAGAATTTTGTTTACATGAAACACGATGGTTCTGAGTCAGCTTCATCAACACATGATCTGTCGATTACAATGGCCAATAATCAAGATGGGCCTAACAATGAGAGCACTGGAAATATGGAACTTAAAACAACAGAAACCATGTCTCTGAGCTCCGGCTCTGGGGGGGAAAGAGACACACTGAAGTATAGCCCCGACAGCCTTCACCCAGGTAGTCGAGACGAGCTCAGGTCCAATTCGGACGGAGATTCATCGTCAGGCCTGGAAATGGAATACATCATTGTGTCTGGCACAGTAAAAGAAGCTGAGAGAGAGTGTCCTAATAGGCCTAAACAGGGTGACAGGCAATCAAAAGGAACAAGAAAGTCCATGGAGACATTTAGCATGCTTTCCTATGCTGCCACGGTACTGCAAACCCAGGCCCAAGCTGCACACAGAGAGCACCAGGAGAACACAGAACAAAGTAGGCAAAACCAAATGATCAGAGGTACTGACAGTGCACTTGGTGCTGAAACAGAGCAAAACCAAGCTGTCTTATTAACTCATTACCAAGCAAGTCTTGATAATGTCAGTGAGCATCACATGGTACCAGAAATTATCAGTCCCAGCCAATCAAAAAATAACCCTGAAGATTTTCATCAGTCAGATTCAAGACCAACAGGTTGCTGTCAAACACTGGTAGAAGAAAGAAACTGTGACGATAAATCAAGCATTGTGGCCAGAAGTGTGTCTCCATCATTAAGACATCCGTCAGATCACTTTCTGAAAACCAGAGAGGAAGTTTATGTCCATTCACAGATCTCAATGGAAGATTCAGATGAGGGTGGGCAGTCTCCTTCTGCACCTCCACCATGTCCTACTTCTTTGGGCGACTTTCAAGTCTGGAGTGGACAATTAGCAAGACGGGACACACCTCAAACCACATCTGAACCACAATCCCCTGTATTAACCAACAGTTCGGTCTCGCACACCAGTTCTTTGATTGGCACCCCATTAAGTGAATCGGGTATTTCTACTGACCGAGGACTTGGATTACCATTTTCTGGAGATTTAATGGAGGAGGAGAATGATGAGGAAGAGCAGGAGGTGGAAAATAATTTAGAGCACACTTCCCTGCCAAAATGGACTTCAGATGTACAGAGTGAAAGGGAAGAAAGACAACAGTTAGGATCTTCTGATCTACTAAGTTTCACCGAGGAGCTGATTGGAGGTTCTTCATTTCAACAAACAGATTTACAAACATTCGAGCAAAAGAGGGACACATTCTTACAGAATACAGAGGATTACTATGATGAACAACCCATAAGGACTGTTGATTGTGATAAATGGTCAACTGAACAACAGATTGGAGACCATGAAGCTTCTCAAGATAGTTATTCACCTGTTTTAAGGTAAGCAATGCACCTCAAATCTCAAGTGCTTATGTCTTGAGATCTGTACTATTCTATGTCTGTTTCCTTTATTCAAAGGTCATTACAAATACGTAAAAACTAAAAACATGCAAACAAATTATCTTTTCATAAAAAGAGTTAGTTATTTAAAAAAAAGTCATTAGACCATATGCACATCTTAAAACCAAATAGTGGTTAAACCAAATTTCAAAAAAACTAACAAAAAATGAATGTGTTTTTTCATGTACATCTAGTGTATATCTAGCCATGCAGATAGATTTGGTTGATTTGATCTTCCAAGGTTTTGAGATATCCATCTCTGAGATTTCTGCTTTTACCCCAATGCAGTGGAAGTAAAGGGAATTTCGTTTGAGCTACCAGTGAAAGCTTTAGAAGTATCTTTCCAGTATACTTACTTTTGTTCATGACAGATCTTCTACACTACTGTCAGGCTGCCAACAGCATGTGAATGAACATATGTACCTGTCCTGCACACACACCCACAAATTGGCACATGCTAACCACCCCTCCCCTCACACTCCCTTAGTTCCCTCCTGGGTTTTTGAGTCTCTACAGCTTTCTCAGTGGAGTCTGTATGTAAGAGGAATATTAGCAACGCTAAACAGACTGTCGAAATCGAGCTAGAAGGCCCTCTTGAGGAATTGAGTCTGATGGTGTGTGTGTGTGTGTGTGTGTTGAAAGACTGAGACTGACAGAGAGGATGTCAAAACGAATATTAGTAGTGTGACTGACACAGATTATGTGTCTACACGTGTGTGTGTGTGTGTGTGTGTGTGTGTGTGTGTGTACGTTTGAGTAAGAAACAAACTGTGCATGTATATGTGGGTGTATTTCGTGTGTTGAGCACAAAGCTTTGATCTGCAGCTCTGTGTGTGTGTGTTTATAAATCTGTTTACGCCTCATTAAATATGCATTACCTGCCTCATTACAGCTGGAGCCCCACAACAGCTAATGGAAACAGCTCCCCTAGCGCTCTTACAAGGTGTGGGTGTGAGTGTATGCATGCAAGACTGTGTGTGAGTGTGTGCATAGGTAATACCCAGTGTGTTCAACAATAAAAGTTTGTCCATGTCGCTTCAACTTGTGTTGACTGTTTATCACTCTCTTAAGTATTGCAGAAAAGCATTAGTAGCTGTAGTTTTCTATGAATGAATGGCATTTGATGTTGAGTTGTTAAGCAGAAACTTATTTAATTCTGTTTCTTTGTTTATTTAAACATTGGTAAAAGTGTCTCCTTGCTAGCAGTCCTCTTATTCCTTGCATTTTCTGGGGCAGTGCTGTGTTTCTTGGAGCATTACTGTCCCCTTTCAATCAGTATAATACTGTCAGGAATGTGTATCACAACACTCGGATGCTCATGTGCAAGCGTGTCCTGTTGTGCATTCACAAGAACAACTGACACAGGGGCCCACTCTTAAAACATTGCTCCATGGTCCTACTAATGGTCAACAACTCTGGTACCATCTCGTCCTTGCTGCATGTTAGCTTCGCAGCAGCAACTGTAGCAACTTAAATAATGTTAGTTACATTACTTGCTGTGTCCTCTGTATTATGGTATTTGTCATGGTATTGGATTTCTCCAGAATCGCTTACTTCACCTTTAATACGAACCTAAGATATTTAAACTCACCAGTTTATTGAACATGCTGAAAATTTGACCGTGCAAGGCACTAAATTGTTCTTATGAGAGTATAGTGGGGAGTTGGCGGCGCCGATGGATAAGGTTCACTGCATACCATTTGTATTAACAATTCTTTCTGAATTTCTCCTTCCCTTTGCGCTGATCCCCCATCCTCTATCACCCTATAAGAAGACACCAAGATGTGACATTGCAAATTTCCTCCCAGCCAACCAATGAGAATGCTGCATCCCAGTGGACAGGAAGTCAGAATGTAACTCAGGCTCAAACCCAATATGGCTACAACTACCACCACATTGACCAACGAACTGAAAACCAGGGCGCCCACCCAGCCTGCATAGATACTAAATCCAACAGCCAGCAAAACACCACAGATGTATATGCTGAGTTTACAACTGATGCCACAGCTATACAGTACGGATCTGAGCAGGCTGAGGGCTATTATGAACCTGGAGTTAATGCCGACTGCAGCGTGAATGATCCAGGTTCAAAGTTTCAATATATGGCTGAAAGCCAGTATGGAGATGTCTCCAACTCTTTGTGCGCTTCTGAACTTCAGTGCTCTCAGTATCAAGCTGATGGCCAGAGTCGATATGAGTCAGACCACGCTCATTGCCAGTTCGATGGACAGCCATTCTACCAATCAGATGTACACTCTGAGAGGGAAGATCATGCGCGGTATGTGCCAGAGGAATATGTTCATTTTCTCCTGGAAAGGTGAGCTTTCAATTTTGCTTAGTTCCACAAGTTTAGCACTTTGTAAAACTTTCAATCTTAGTGCTGTCTGGAATCTAAATTTGCAATCTAGCCTCAAAAACACAGTTTTTTTGCTGGTCTTTCTTTAAAACTGAAACATGATTGTATGGGTTTTTTGTCCATTATAAGTTTGTGGAAGAGAGAGAGAGAGAGAGCTCAACAGTGGATCTGCATAGGCCTAAGAAATGCACTACTGTTTTTTACCACAAAGGGGCAGCACAGATCAATTTAAAACTGCCAACAGCATGCGAATGAACATATGTAATAAATACTTTATTTTAAATCCTTTATTTTACAACGTGGTTTTCTTCATACCAAAGCAGGTCTTTTTTACGTTTATGTCTTAACCAAGATGTGTTTTTTTCTCAATCAAATGTCCAAACGAAAAGTAATTTTCTGGAATCAATATGCAGTGTGTGTACATGAATACAATAGGAAGTGTGGGTGTGTGTACACTGCAGCTTAATTGTTCCTCATTAGCAGTTGCATCATGGCATTTGTTTTGCCCCACTTTGTAATTCTTATGACCCGCCCCCTCTTTGGCATACAAAACCCTCCCCTGTCTTTCACTCTATGTAGGCAAACACACGTTCACAACAAACATTTCCATAATTAAGTGGTCATGTAACTTAATTGTGGAAAAAGAGTAGTTTAGTCACTCGTGCTGGGGGAAGACAGTGAGAGTGAGGGAAAGGTAGGTGTCGTAAGACAGAGACGTGTATGTGTGTGTCTTTGTGTCTATAATCATGTGTACTGGTTTGTCTGTTCTGCTTCTCTCTATTGTTAGGCCTTATGTTAATCAGAGTCTGTTAGAGGGGCTTTGGTTGGGGGGAGGTAGCAACACTGCTCAGTATTGTTTCTTCAGCCCACATGTGCAGCCTGGGAATGAAGCAGTGAGTCGCTTCTCTCCATCTCCTTTGTTACTTCTGTAATCTTTCATGTCTGTAGTCAAATGAACAGATTTTAAACTCTTCCCCATTCATTGTCATGGGAAATGTTAGATTATTATCTTTGTAGATGATTGTCTTCAGCTTGTTTGGCCCAATACTATGCATAGCTGTGCCTATGGTGGCAGTGTTGATAGCAATGATAATTTATGTTGTGGCTCATTATTGTATTTCTGTGCCTCTGAGCAGACACTCCCAACAGGAAGACGGTGCAACAGGGATGAAGATGGCTTCCAGTGAGGAAGCTGCTGAGGAGATGGATAATGGAGAAGGTAAATAAACAGCATTAAATTGCTCCTGTCATTTAAAATCTTTAGACATTTTAGCGCTGATGATTTTTTTTGCACCTTATAGGTGAAATATCAGAGGTATTGGCTTACAGATATATTATAAGATGAATATAAAGAGTTAATGTTTTGTGGAGGTTGAAGAAACTATTTTGACTAAGAAGGCTTTAGTTTGGTTTATTGACAAACGCATAACACAAGTAGAAATGTACTCCCCTTTTTTCATAAGAACATCTCTGCTGCTCTGAGTTCTGTCTTCGATCTATAACCAAAAAAACCCCAACAAATTAATAAACTAAGAAAAAAATTCAACCACCTCTCTCTGACCAGATCCTCCCTCTTCTGCGGATCTGTCTGGCGGGTCCAATCAAAGGAGAAGGTTGGTAGCTCCACCAATGAATGTATCATTGGACCACAGTGAGGGGTCTCTTCTCTCAGAAGATGCCCTGGACACAGAGGATGAAGCCTTGGATACTGGTGATGACCTGGATGTCAACATAGATGGGCTGGACACACCTGACGAGGCAGACTTACTAGAGTTCAGCCAACATGGTCAGACACACACACACCTGAAGATAGATAGATGTCTAAATGTGCACAGAAGGCATGCGACAGACACACAAAGACGCTCACATTGTATACTCTATATTGTCCAAAAAACAGGATATTTTTTCATCTTGTAAAAGTTAGTTTTCATTTCAGCTGTCTTTATGTCACAAACAGGGGAGTCTAATCTGGGTGAAGGAGCAGCATCAAGTGATGCCATTGCAGGACATCGATCTGCTGATGAGAGCAGAGATAGCAGGCTGTGGAGGAGTGTGGTGATTGGCGAGCAGGAGCATCGCATAGATATGAAGTGCATTGAGCCATACAAAAGAGTGATTTCTCATGGAGGTATGCAAACACAAATGCTTAAAATCCATGCCTACCAGTTTCTCCTGTATGTTTTACAGCTTTTGATCAATTGATCTCTGCTAATTGCCTACGTCTTCATGCACACCGTTCAGTCTAATCTTTCCACTTGTTTGTTAGAATCATGTATTTCATGTTGTGCTTTGAACCTTATTCTTTAAAGGGAAGCACTCTATTAGTTTTGGAAAATATTATATTTTTTCGGTCTGATTTAACTTGTGAGTTTTCCTTTTAATATAACTATATTATAACAATATATTCCCAGCTATTCATAAAATTGTTGAACCATGGCTGCCAGACTCCAACTGTGCCCTGTCATATTCTGATTCTGCTTATGGAATTTGAATGCCTGTCAACTCTCTTGATAATTTGTAATACTGTAGAAGTAACTACACAGTGAAAGGCAGAAGAGTGGTATAATCAGAACAGTTCTCATCTTACTATGTACTTGAATCACTGAACTTACAGTAAAGCAGTTCCAACTAAATATTACAAACTACTAGTGAAAGGGCTTGTGTTTTATCTCAAAATTTCCTTGTTCCTTGTAGGACACATCTCTGCCCTAGATTTCCCCATGTAAGCCCCTTTTGCACTAAATGTGGAAAGATGGAGGGTTATAAAATCCCATTAAAACACATAACCATGACCCAGATGTTGACTAAGAAATGAGCATCTGCCATGTCAACAATGGTGCTAACTGATGGGCCAGCCAACAGTTTCATACAGGATGAAAGTATAGGTTTGTGCAAATGTACCGCAAGTGAGTCTTTTTTTGTGTTTTCAGGTTATTACGCTGAACAGAACGCCATCATTGTGTTTGCAGCATGCTTCTTGCCAGACAGCAACTGTGACAATTACAATTATGTAATGGAAAACCTTTTTCTGTAAGTGAAGCTACACTATGATCAAAAATATGCGGACATGTAAACAAGTCACATGGAAACCCGAACGTTACACCCATTTGTGATAGTGAAACATCTTATTCCAAAACAATGGGCATTATAGTTTTTTCTGAATGCTTAAATGCTAACAGTCATTCTTTAAGCACTATTTCTAAAACCATTAACATTTGTAGCCAAATCATTTAATAAGCGTGCCAAACTGAATGCACGTTCTCTGCTTTACACTCAGTTTCTAATTTTATAACACACTTCTGGCAAAACTGTAAAAACTGGTCTCTATTATGCTATACTGTTTTGCCAATTGGCATTCCACATTGACATGTGTGAAAACACTTTTAGATAATTAAAACATTGCATAAAACTTTGCTAATGATTTGGATGAAATCGTATGGCCAAACCCACAAAGATGATGAAGCTGCTATTTTTGTTTAGCCCAAATGTTTCTGTTTTCTTCTTCTGAGATTTTGTTTGAGTGTTACATAAGAACTTTATGTTAGGAATACATATCCATATTTTACACATTTGGACACCTGTGTGTATTTATGTTTTACTGAATTATATTTATGACAAAAAACTTTATAGCAAACTGCTACGCCCTACACACAGAAAAAGTGTTTTGTATTTATCCTATCAGCACATATTTGCTGCTTCGTGTGCTTCTTAGATGGTTTGTGCGTACTGTTTTGATGCAAAAACACAAAGAGTTTTGCAAGAATTGTTTGCTTTTGCAAGAGATATATAATATAATAATGTTGGTAGAAGATGGTATAATGTTATGCTTTTTAGTTATACTGTTTTGTGGTTAGTGTGTAGAGTTTTGCAAAAATAGATTAAAAAAGGGCGTTTCCCAAACTGTTGCCACAAAGCTGGAGCAATCTTTTGTGTATAAATATCATGATGTGCTGCATTAAGATTTTCCTCAATCTTTCCAAACCAAAAGTACACAATTAAATGTGAACTTAATTGTTAAATTGTTGTATAATGTATACCATAACATTTAATTAACATGAAACTTGCTTGTGTTGCTTTTGGAGTCCTTGTGAGTTAACGTATGCCTGTCACAGTGTTGTCTATTGTCTGTGTGTGTAGGTATGTAATAAGTACCTTGGAACTAATGGTGGCAGAAGATTACATGATTGTTTACCTGAATGGCGCCACACCTCGCAGGAGGATGCCAGGCTTTACCTGGATGAAAAAGTGCTACCAAATGATAGACAGAAGGTAATTTTCACAGTAAGTAAATGGGTAAAATGTGAGTAAAGAAAATCAAAAATGAATGATAAATAATTTTCCCCTTTGTAACATATTTTATTAAGTGCTCCTTAGAAAATAGAGAATTTAGAAAGACTAGTCAATACACATACAAGAGTTTATATGAATACAGTCATGCATGTTCAGCCAAACCTACAGTAATACATTACAGTGTCAACTTGCTGATTTGCTTGTATCTTTAAATATCATTGTGATGCAAGAAATAACCATGACCATGGCTGATAATTGTTTTTCTAATTATTAGTCCCATCAACAGTTTCATAGGGAGGCCAGTAGGGGGCATGCATATCATACCTAATGCTCAACAATTGCTCATTGAACTCAGTTGAACCTTTTGACTGTAATAATTTCACTCAATATGAACTGCGTCAGTTCGCTCCTTGGTGAGCAGTAAATTGATTTCCAACATATGAATCATTATCATTTTGGGTCGTCACTGATGAGAAAATGCCATGCCCTGCATTGTGGAATTATGAACATAAAGTTGTACTGTAGTGAAAGACAATACTTTTCTCACTATACACAATACTATGTCAATTTCACACCCAAAAAAATGGCAGACAGTAAATAACATCAGTCATACAATAAAATGTGTGCAGTGTGCAGCAATCTTCTTTTTAATATGTCATTGCCATGACCTGCACCTAACTTTTGATCTGCATTTACCAGATTATCAATGCTATTTTTATCTTCTAAAGCTGAACAACTTCACTGTGAAAATATCATTGTCATAGCACTCCTATCTTTATGTGTACTTTATACCTGACAGCAGGAACTGTAAATAATTAAAACTTGTGAATGAGCGAGTGAATAAATTATTTATTGATAATCTTTTTACATAACTTTTGCCTCTCCTCTTGTCTCACAGACTGAAGAAAAACCTTAAGATGTTCATCATTGTCCATCCCTCCTGGTTCATACGGACTTTGTTGGGAATCACCAGACCCTTCATAAGGTCTCATTGTTGTACTTTACATGACACACTGTAGAACACTTATCACACACAACAAGATGCTACCAGTACTTATCACAGTTTAAAGGGTCAGTAGTTGATTGTACTCATCAAAGGGCACACTTGGTCTACACTCTTATGGCCCTAGCTATTTCCAAGAAGACTTTTTCACTCCACTCAGACAAATCTTTATGATTTTCTTGTTTTCTACAGCTCCAAGTTCAGCAGTAAGATCAAGTATGTGAATAGTCTGCAGGAACTTGGAGAAATCATCCCAATGGAGTATGTCCACATTCCACCCAGCATCGTCAAGTGAGTCTGCCTGTATCAACATTCACTATATCTGCGCTTCACTTTTCTGTGGCCATACAAGGTGGAAACAATACTACTGCTATTCAGAGTGACATCACCTTGTTTGAAAACTGTTTGTAAGGGCTATTGTAACCTTTCAAAATAATCAATTACATACAGTCTTTCAGGAAACCATCCCCTTTTTATATATTTTAGGTGACAGCCTGCCATCATAGAGTGACAGGTGAACCATGAGACAAAATTAACTACCCTCTCCAACCCTCCTTCACTGCAGTTTTGTTAGATTACACTCCAGGTTTGCCAGTGAAATTTAAAACCCGTTTTACAAGTCTGTTAAAGCTCAGAAGGGTAGGATATTTTGTTTCCAACAGCTGTTCATTGACTAAAACATCCTCAACATACTGACTGCTGTTTTATTTGGATCTGCAAGTATCTTTAGATATTATTTAGATATGATTAAATCATTTCTGATTTAATCACTTCACAGAGCCAAATACTTACTCAATAAATACACACTGGAAAAGGGAAACAAACACAGTGCAAACTTTTATTTAAGTGCCTAAATAAGGCATGCTTTTACATCTCTTACTCTGTCCCAAGGTATGACGAGGAGATGGGTATACACAAATTTGCATGCATGAGGTAACTCACCTAACCTGCCTGCATTCATCAATTGGCAGGGTTAGGTAGTAATGGATTACATGTAATCGGGATTATGTAATAAGAGTACAAAAATAAGTAACTATAATCAGATAAGATTACATTTGAAAAAATGTAATTAGATTATCGTTACATTTTCAAGGATTACTTCGTTATATTTTTTTGATTACATCTTTAAAATATGGCAATTTTAAAGTTGTGAAATTTACCCTTACATGTTTTTGTAAGGGTTTTTGATTTGAATTTGATTCGACCAATTCTAAATGCTGGATATGTTCTACTGTATATCAAAGTAAGTTCCTCCTCTCAGGTTGCCAGTTTTGTTAATTGTGACTTAACTACTATTTGTTTTCTAATGATGACTTATGGATAATGGAGTTTTTATTCCTTGATTACTAAAATGGAAGATGAACATTTTAAGTATTAAGTGCTCATCTTGCGTTTCAAGAGCATAGTCCTCCATGTAGCCTTTGATTACAAAACAGCAGCAACAAAAACGTTGTAGAATACTTATAGTATACCTGTAGTTGTGCCAATACTCCTTTTGTAAGGGTAATTTGATATGACCAACTGTAAATGTTGAATATAGAAAATGCATTTTATTTGAATTTGAGATGTTTAAATAGAAAAAATAATATTTGTGAAACTTTTTGTGGCTGCATCCATTTTTTTGGTGCCACAAGGTGCCATATTTTCAATATTTCATTTTGAAGTAATCCAAAAGTATTCAGATTAGTTTACAATTACATTACTAATTACAAAAATTGCCATCTAATTTGTATTCAGTAACTGAAATTACATTTTACAGTAATCTGACCAAACCCTGTCAGTTGGTTTTGTCTCCCTGAAAAATCCTCTAATGCTACTATGACTTTTCTCATGCTGGGATCTAACCTTTGACTGACCCTTTGCTGTCTCCTTATCCAACACTTAATGAGCAAGATATTGATTTTCTTACTTCTCTCAGTCTGTGATGTGGCTTTCCCTTCAAATTGGTTTCCCCTCTCATCTGTGACATTTTAGTAGACATCTAACAGACATATAGACCCAGCTTGCACTAACTAATATACACAGTCACTCTCAAATCTTTACTGGTCTAATCGTTAGCTATTGAGGAATTTAGACGAGTTGCATAGTGGGACATACTCCAAACTGGGAAACACACATTTCTCTGTCAGTATGAGTAGTTCCAAAGGGTTCAGAGTTTCAGTGTATTATACAGAGCAACACAGACTGGACTTTCTCATAATTGGCAGCAAAATATTCCCACAGTATAAAAGAATATGAGGTACAGCATTTTAACTGCATCTGGTTAACGATAGTTTCTAGTGAGACGAGTTACAACTATTGTCACCAAGCATTTTTCCAAAGGACAGTGCCCAACAACCTACTGAGAGGACAGTCAGAAAATTAGAATATAGTGAAAAAGTTCCTTTTTTTTGTAATTTAAGTCAAACACAAGTGAAAAAACAAGTGAAATGTCCATATATTCTAGATTCACACATAAAGTGAAATATTTCAGGCCTTTTTTATTTTAATCTTGATGATTACAGCTTACAGATCATGGAAATCAAAAATCCATATCTCAAAATATTAGAATATTAGAATAAAGAATGTCAAAAGTTAATTTATGCACTCAGTACTTCGGGTCGGGGGTCCTTTTGCACAAATTACTGCATCACAGTGGCATGGCATGGAGGCAATCAGCCCATAGCACTGCTGAGGTGTTATGAAAGCCCAGGTTGCTTTGATAGTGGCCTTCAGCTCATCTGTATTGTTGGGTCAGGTGTCTCTCATTTTTCTCTTGACAATAGCCCATGGATTCTCAATGGTGTTCAGGTCAGGTGGGCTAGCTGGCTGGTTTACCATGGTCAGCAGTAATACCATTGTAAGCACACCAGTTACTTGTTGTTTTGACACCGTGGGCAGGTGCCCAGAAACAGACACCTATTTCCAGGAAAAACGCCTTTAATAACATACCAAAACTAAATCAATAATAACTCCTCAACCATTAGGCCAAGAGGCCATAATTCTGGTCTGCTTTGATAGGTCAGAAGCTAAGGAATATGAATCAAATGAACCGATTTTCTTTTAAAATAAAGTAAATGGAGATGCAATAAAGGAAAATATGATATCTTCATCCTCGCCTGGTATAAAATCTATATTTTAATAGCAATATCACCTAGAATACAACTGTAACTGTAAATTAGATGAAAAGAAACTAATATACAACAGTTATTACACAATTTTTCAAAAATATACCAGGTCCATGTTTTGGCCATATTTACATGCTCTTGATGCGCTGATTCCAGCCTCAGTCCACTCCTTGTGAAGCTCCCCAAGTTCTTTAATTGGCTTTGCTGGACAATACTCTCAAGGATGAGGTCATCCCTGTTGCTTAAGCATATTTCCCTACCACACTTTAACCTTCCAGTCAACTTTCCAGGAATATGCTTTAATCCAGGACTCTGTGAATAGCCAGCCCTTTCAGCTATGACCTGCTGTGGCTTACCCTCCTTGTGGAGGGTTACAGTGAGTGTCTTCTGGACATCTGTCAAGTCAGAAGTCTTCTCCATGACTGTGGTACTAAAACAGACTGAGAGATTAAAGGCTCTTGTCAGGTCAACATTTAATTCCTTATTCTACTATTTTAATATTTTGAGATATGGATTATTGATTTCCATGAGCTATAAGGTGTAATCATCAAGATTAAAACAAAAAAAGGCCTGAAATATTTCACTTTATGTGTAAAGAAGCTAGAATATATGAATGTAACTTTTTTTACTTAGATTACGGAGAAAAAAACCTTTTTCATGATATTCTAATTTTCTGAGATGCATCTGTACATGACTACTGGTTGCTCATCAGAAAAATGTGAACATTAAAACAACTAACAACAACAATGATTTTGTGGTGAGGGCAGTCTCTGTGGAACATAGAATACCACGTTAAATATGACATACATGTGATTTTATGTATGATTACATATAGATCTACAGTATGAAAGGGAAATGGGTCTGTTTGCAGCTCACAGACTCCTTCAGGCACACACAAGCACAGATATTTTGGTGTAAAAGAATGGAGATGAGACCATGGAAAGATTTAAGCTATCCAGAAACTTTAACCCTATCCATTATCAAAGGGGCCATGTCTTGTACCTTTGTGTCGTCATGCCTTGTGCCACTGAGCATGTCTTGAGTCTGAAAACTACAGATTGACCTAGACCCAGTGTTTGTAAAATTGTTTATGCATTGCAGCACATCTGGGCCTTGAACACTCCCACTTTAGAGCACTGATGCTTGTTTTCCTTCCATTCACCCCCCTATGGCAATGTGGATACAGGCTACTAATCCCCAGCAACTGCATGTGTGTACTGACACCTGACACCCCCCCCACATACACACACACACACACTCCTCAGTCACTTGTACACATCCCCCACTAACCTTTACTTTCTGCCCTCCAACACAATGCTAACCAGACTGGATAGAGAATTGCAAGACACAGCCAAGTAAGTAGTAGGCCGTTGTTCTCTGTCAGTGGGTGAATTTAACAAAGACAAAGAATGAAATGGGGCCATGTCTTCTACCTTTTCTGTAAACAATGGACAATAGGAAGTCGTCTCAGGTTTACTGTATATTTCACATTACATTGACAGTGAAAGGCTGAGTGAATGAATGAGGAATTAAAGGTAATGGATCAAGACAGTAGAATGAAGAGATACTCATATAACCAATCTGCTGCACAGCATGATCATCACTTATTATTAGAGTAAACTGTCTTTAATATTGCCATATTAAAGCCATCCTTGAAATTTAAGCCTTGGAGCCACTGAACAACATTTTGCATTTGCAGTTACCAGAAAATGTATAGTTAGAATTTTAATAGTCATATTTTACTTTCCTTTTCACTCACAGTCACAAAAGGTACAGTATGCACAGTATGCCTTTGCTTTATGATCTGACCATGTTTTAATTTCGTTTAATTTAGTTTTTAATTGTCTTGATTACAAAGATAAACTAAAATTCTTTCTCTCTCATCTTCTCTATCTCTCAGAGCCGACAAAAAGGGGAACTCTGCTGTTTGACAATAACAAGATACCTGGCTGCTGCCTATCTTCTCCCTGCATTATGCTGTACTCTACCACAGCATTTCTGAATATAAGCCAGCCTGCAGCATGATGTGAATGGCACACCAACAGCTAGAAATGGGTTAGAAAGGAAGATTCTATGGTACAAACATCAGGCAGTTGCTTGTTCGTTGAGGAAAGTACTAACCTGAGGGTGCTGAACATAATACTGTATTTACAGTCTGTCACTGTGCTGAAGGGAAGATGCTTTATCCTTTACTACTGTACTTTACACAGCACTTGATTGTGTTCTATGACTTCATCTATAATTTCAACAATACTTGGATTCTTATGTAATTCACTTTGGAGGAATTACTGACTTTACTACATTCATGTATTATTCCACCCTGTCTGTTGCCCTCTGTAACTTTTGTAACCCATGGTACAAAAATAATCAATGTGCATTCTCCAAAGACATAGTGAGGCTCATGACTCTTTCAAATTATAACCAAATACAAGCAAACACAAGTTGTATTACAGTCCATCTGTTCACAAATAAGCATTTATGTTCCCTGGACAGTTGGGATGTTACTGTTCTGTAGCTCTGTCAATAGACTGTAATATTCTATTTATCAGTTAAGGTAGTCAAGGTACAAAAATATGATACACACACACACACACACACACACACACACACACACACACACACACACACAAAAGCATTGTACAAGCCTGTTCAGTTTGTAATGGCATGAAACAGAATTGCCAAGCTGGTTTTTGAATAGTATTCTATGTAGAGGGCTCCTGTCACAGTGGGCTTTTACCTTATAGGTCACCGCCTCACTCCACACCCCATACAATCTTTAAAATGCTGTCCTAATAACACTGTATGTTGTTGTGAAAGTACTTGCAACATCTTATCATAAAGGTTGCAAAATAGCAGTCATCAGTAGCTGCGATAACGTGTTGCATGCTTTCTGTTGCTACAGTTGAGATTGCTTTGATCTGATTACTGTACTAACCCAAAAGCCAAACCCTAATTTTAGTCATGATTTATCTGTGGGGGGGGGGGGAGATTGATGGAGAGTGATGAGGAAAGTCTGTGTTGACAGATGGTTAGAGAGGTATAGAGTATAAAGAGTGCCTCCTGTACACGTTAGGGTGTGTCTACTTTGATAAGCTTTTTCTTATTTTTGTATACATTTGTTTGTGGCTTGCAAGTTACTAATTTGTTGGAAAATATGTAAAATGTTTAACTTCATTAAAAATGTGTTCCTCCTCAACAGGCTTCAAAGTACTCCATGTACCACAACGCACATTGCATAATAATCAACTCCACCTACACTGACTTCTGGTTTTTCATAACAATGAATCAATCACAAGATGTTTTTTTTTGGCACTGACCATTAAAAAACACTCTTGGTTTGCATCAGTTACACATTTGGACACATAACATTTTCCCTGTTCTGAACTCTGTCTGTGTTATGGGGACTGTGAGTGGATAGTGGAATTTTGGCAACTCACATTAAGGTTTTTTTGTCCTGTGCGGGTTTGGCTTATGTTTGGGGTCATCACTTTACTGGAAAATGTATCTTTTCCCAAGCTGTTCTCTTGCACACTGCAGAGGGTTTTTTTTACCGTAGGTTTTCCCTGTATTTTGCACATATGCACTTCCAAAAACCTAACTAGAATACGAAAAGACGCAGTTTTTACATTAAATGCAAGGAGATTTTCCTCTGTGCTTTTTAGCAGATTGAAGTAATCGACCGACGGATGGACATTATGAAAACATCAGATGTACTGCTAGATTATACTGTTAGATGGCAGAATTAGCAGACTGAATAATAATGTATTGCCTCTAATTTAATAGATTTTTAATTTGGTTATTGTATTTGAGTTTTTCTAATTACTTCAGCTTTTCTTAAAAATTGTGAAGCAAACAATTCTAGGGCAGTAAAATGCTGCTTTGACTCATTTTTGGTTGTCAGAAAAACCTCCATTACGGTTGTAACTCAGCCAGTGCCTTTTGTCTCAGATACTTCTCCAAGCAGTAGAGGGCAATGGGATCTGTGTCTGTGTCAAACTTATTGGCAAAGAGGTGATGGTGCTCAAGCAACCACTGCAGGTCTCCAGCGCCATACACACATATTGACCTGACATGTTTACCATGACACTCTGGGTACACCGCCTCCAGCGAACCCTGTGAACCCTCATGCCACTGCCACTTCACAAGCCGTGCAATTGCATTGATGTCTGTCATGTCGTGTTTACGATTGGGCCACGTTGAGCCAGGAACACCAGGAATTCGTTGAATGGTTGCCCAGAGAAACTCATCAGGACTGAAGGTATCTTTGGCCCACTCCATCAGTGCTAGTATTCGGTTGTCCTCCAACACGCTGCGAACGTAGCCTCGGCTAACCACAATGTAGGCGTTTCCCGACAGAATGGGCAGGTTGAACGGAGGTGGCTTCTTTACTTTTCCTATAGCCTGGGACAGTTGAAATAGTGAATTAATATGATTGTGATGGCCATAAGGACAATCTGAACAGAACATTTTTGCAGTGGCAAAGTTTGTCACACTGTGTGTCCGTCTGCTCTGTTTAGTTTTGTTCTCAGCCGTTGTTATTTTAGTCTGTGCTGTATCGTTTAGTTAGTCTGTATTTTGGGTTTAAGTCCTGTCTGTTGTATTGTGTCCAATTTCCCCGGTGTTAGTTTATTTACTGTTTCCTGTCTTTGTTCTTACTTTATTCTGTCTTCTAGTGTTAGTTTGTGATTTCTGCTTTAGTTTGTTTTGGACTCCCTGTTTGCTGTTCTGTTTAGTCTAGACTTGTTTTATAGTTTGCTTCCTCTGCCTGTTTTTATTGTTTATCTTGTGTTTAGTATTGTGTTGGTATTTTCCTTATTTCTGATCTGTTCCATTTTAGTTTCATGGTCTGTTCAGTATCTGTTTTCCTGTGGTGATTCCTGTTTTATAGTTAATCGGTGTTTGTCTGTTTACATGGTTAATTCTGTTATCATCTGGTGTTTGAATCTTGGCTTGCTTCTGTCATTCTCTCTGCCTGCCTGCATGTCAATATCATTAGTCTGATCTCCATCACCTGTGTTGCTCCCGCCCTGCTTGTTAGTGTGTCCGGTCATTGTTGTGTGTAGCTTGTTGTGCGCTGTTCCGTGCCTTGCCCTGCCTGTTCTGGATCTGTGGCTTGTTGGCTTTTCTGTTGGATTACTTTGTTAGTTTTGGATTATTTACTTTGGTTTCTTTGAACTCAGCCACTCAGTTTGTAGTGTTCTCGCTTTTGTTTTGCCTTAATAAATCATCTAACTGTACCTACCTGTTTCCATGTCCTGCATTTGGGTCCTCCAACCAGCTCAGCCACACACCAATCAAATTGCAAATTGCAAAGTTACTGTGCAAATAATCAGTTATAAAAATTGTTAAAAGCAGTACCTGGATTTTCCCATCAACTATCTGGTGAACATTTGAGACCCTCCATTTCTTTTCTTTAGGCAGTTTTTCTGACTCCAAGCTATTACCGCCCTTCAGTGAACGCAGCGTCCTTACAATCTCCAAATTGGTTTTCAGAGGGAAATCCTGTCCACAAAGGTTGATGAAGTATTTCCATTTTGTGCTGACATTATAGAGATCCGCCATACAGTTAAGATCAGCCTGGACGCGTGGCCAGGCAGAATAAACCACTCTCACCCTCTGGCTGACCATGAAGACATTTGGGAAACAGGAAGTAATAGCACTGATGGCAGAGAAGACTGATGCCTGTGATTGTTCGTCCACATGGATGCAATAAATATTTTGAGGCGCATAGATGGCTCGCAGCAGCCTCTCAAAGTTCTGCACCTACAGTATATGAAAAAATAATAATTCAGTCCTTGTTGTGTATGTTTCATATACCAATTGAAACAAGTATTTGTTTTAATTTTTGGAACTGTTTAAAGGAGCACTCCCACAATTTGTTATTGCTCTTTCATAATGTTTGGGGATTTGTGGTGGCCAATTACACTCTTGTTAGTGTAAACCAGCGATTCCCAAAGCTGCCTTCTAGGCGCCACAGAAAAAATTAAATTGTGGTCTAGTAGTGTAACAACTACAACAATTATTTTTTTAAGGAATTTTTCATGAAATAACAACCTGAATTGAAAACTCCATGTTATCTGTTTATGAGGCTCATGAGGGTGCAATTTGTAAAAAAAAAAAAAAAAAAAAAACAGAGTCATGAAAATAACCCCCACCTTCCTTTGCACGGTTCGGCATGCAGGTGAACTGTGAATTGATTGCAAAGTTTAACCATCACAGTATGAAAAAAGGTTTTACTGCCACTTTTTAAAGTAATAAATACATAACGTTACGATCTTGCGATGCAGAGAAAGAAGACAGATGCATGCTGTCTTAAAAGCCGTCACTTTCAAGAGTGTCATTGAGTGAACCCCCCTAGCAGTGACTTGTGCATGTTCACTGGTGTAACAGACACTGGGCTGCTTGTCATCATAGAAACAGATCTTCATATTTTGATGTTTATTGCACCTTCAGTAATATCGGCTGCCTTCTCTTAAACACACAGCTCCTCTGCTCACCGGAGCAAAGTGTTGATAGGCTATTATTCGCGGCGTGTAACCAATCAGATGGCACATATATATTTTAACATATATATATAACCCGGTCAAGATGTAGAAGGGGTGTGTTGCCTAAAAAGTTTGGAAACTGTTAGAGTAATCAGTTCAGCCGCCTGTAGACGTTCTGGCATGAAAGCACAATTGCTGGAAATTTGTTGTTTTGGGGGGACACAAACGTCTGGTGAAATCGTCAATTTAACATAACTTGGATATAGGGCGGCAAGGTGGTGCAGTGGATAACACTGTGGCCTCACAGCAAGAAGGTCGCAGGCTCACACCCCGGTTGCCCTGGCCTTTCTGTGTGGAGTTCGCATGTTCACTCACGGAGCTCTGGCTTCTTTCCACCGTCCAAAGACATGCGGACTAGGTTAATTGTTGATCCTAAATTGTCCTTAGGTGTGAGTGTGACTGGTTATTTGTCTATGTGTGTGGCCCTGCGATGGATTGGCGACCTGTCCAGGGTGTAACCCGCTTTTTGCCCGATGTCAGCGGGGCCCCCCGCGACCCTGTACGCAGGATAAGCGGTTGACGATGGATGAATGGATAACTTGGATATAACAAAGGATGAAATCAGTATGTTGACCTGTGGTTGTGTAAGGAATTGCACCTCTGCATGCAGAGGCCATATTGAAGCCTCAGTAATGTAGTGGTTTAAAAAGGGTCATGGTATTTTATATATTATGCATATGTATTGACTGTGAATGTTTTTCTTCTTTGTCCAGATAACAGGAGGTTATTTTCTGTGTCACTGAAGCCGCTAAAGGAAAATAACAGTTAAACAAAAACATTGTGGGAGTTATACTCCCTGATTGATGAAATATCATCTTACAAAGAGAATAATTTGATGAGGCTGTGTTTTTGTCTTAGAGGAAATTAGGAATTAGGGAAAAGTATCTAACCTTTCAGTAAGTGACATGGTTGTCATGTGAGTTTATGTCTATGTGGAACTTTCACCAGTACTCGTAACTGGAAAGTGTGATGCCTTTCAGAAATTAGTCCTGACAGTGGAGGGAAAATGTCTCTGGCAAAAATGATCAGTTATCTCTCTAAGATTTGGAAATAGGTCTAATGGCTAAAATACTTGTTGAACATCAGTTTAATCTTAATTCTTAACATTTACTAAATTTGTGTCACTTTAACCAATTCAAGTGGCTCTGGGATTCCTGGGTAATCACAGGATTCCAGGTCCTGACAAGGAAGATAAACCTTCCTGTTGTAATTTGTAAAAACTGAAACAGCAAAGGCAAAGATATCCTGACTTTTAGTCCCAAGTATGGGGCAAGTTCCAAAAGCGTTGGATCCTACACCTCCCATAATGCGACATTCATTAGACTCCTTTGTCTCCAAATTGCCCACTTCCTTCAAACAGTTACGCAAGCTTTCTGATAAAAAAAATTCCCAGTTGAGATTACCTTGATGACATCATCAAGGTCATTTATTCATACTTGGGAAAGCTACCTCTAAACGCACAGAAGACATTACACAGCTGTATGATATATTATACTGGAGACTGAGAAGTCTTTAAACTGAACTTATTGTGTAAAATTGGTGGAGTGCCCCTTTAATTAATGAAAGTGAATTGTTTAGACCACTACTGTACTGTTTTTAAAGTTTATCTGAATTTATATTCAGGCTTTAGAATTTGCATACCTTATGATGCACAACCATAGAGTAAGCCAGGGGGAAGTCTTCTTCCTCCTGGCTTAATGGAAATGTTAAGTATTTCCTGGTTAACTTGAATTTCCTGTAAATACACAACATTGAACAATTGTTGCATACAGATTTCTGTTAAATTCAGTACATTTGAATAATTGCTCAGAGTGATACAGTTACTGAAACCTGTAATTTAAAGCAACACACCTGCAGTCTCGGGTTGCATTAATATAATGCTCATCGGGGATCCAAACATTCTTGCGGAAGTCTTTCGTGATGGTCAGTAATTTGGCCTGCTTCAGTGCCTCTCTCTCTCCCTGCATGATTGCTGTACAGTTGCACACTTTTTCTGGGCCCCCATCAGCATCGGTATACTCCAACCAGCTGTATCTAAGACTGTAGGTAGGATCCAAGTCTGTTTTGGGGTGACTCATTAGGTAAAGCATCCACAGGGATCCCAGTACAACAGTAAGCTTCAGCAACAGTTTCAGTAGCCTCATTATTGAAGAGGAAGACCTCAACTTAGACTTTAGTAGAGGCTTTATAAAGTCCAGCTGCACTTAGCCTTTATATTTCTTTCATAGAGTCACATATTTATTTATTTCTGTTTATAACTCCATTCTGAGAGGTTTCATAACTTATTAAGAAATTAAATCTAAATCTAAAGGCTAAACTAAAAATGTCCGACGGAGGCTTTGTCCTCTGGCACAGCACATGTTCCTGGATTTACTGCACTTCAGCATGGCTATAAATGACTATGGGGTAATGTTTAACAACTTGTAGATAAGTTAGTCTTATGGATCCTGGAAGATTGGTCATTCCAGATGTTATTGGCCCTGGAAACAAGATAAGAGAGGAGATGTGGACACGTCCACACGTCAAACATACTTTCGCCAAGTATAAAATTCAAAGGTCAATGACAGTCTTTTTAATGTGCAAGCAATCAAAAATTATACTATTACTGAAAACATGAGTACTAAAAGATAAATAAAAGAGATTTGGAGATAATCAAAATGCAAACTATACCTTTCAGCCTTTCTAAAACTAAACTTTTATGTTTAGTCAGTACTTTACTTTTGCCCAAGTAAAATAAAAATCAAGTAACAGTTCTAATTTTTCAACATTTCTTCTATTTTCATTTTTAACAAGCAGATGCTACCTTGAATGGGATTCACAAAAACATGTTAAGATAAATAGCTTGTAAAACACCGCAGAAATAAACGTTGAGTGATTTGTATCTGTAAACCTGGATCCACATCTGTGCCTCTAATTTACAACTCCTATATCATCTTTTGTACATTAACTTAGCATTTTTCAGTGGAAATATATTTTTGTGAATCTCCACCTATGTTGTATAGATCATTTTGAGACCGTTCTTCCAAGCTGTATGTGTCAGATAACGTGCAGGGACGACAAAGCCTTTCCAGAAGATGGTGGTAATGTAACATGTATGTACCCAGATCTAGAAAAAAATTATATTTGTATGGTTTTGCTTGCAGTCAATCACAGCAAGCGTTCTTCGATTTCATTCCACATGCAATTGGCCCTCTACTGCAGCTACAGCTACAAACAGTCTGTGATGGTAAAATCATGCACATGTATTTGATGGAGTTGGCAGTTCAGCAAGCTGATATGCCACCAAAGAAGACTAAAAATAAATTTAGATAGGTCGTAATAAGCTGCTAAATATTTACCTATATGGCTGTGTTTGCAAGGCCAAAAAGATATCAAATGAAGTATTGATACTGGTATTGTAATTTTTCAAACAATACCCAGCCCTAGACACATTGATGGTGGAAAATTAGGAAGTTTTTCTTTTCATGAATAATATTTGTGTGCAGCGCATCAACATGGTTTTTAATTCAAGAAATTATATGACTTTTTGAATGTGCAGAAAGTTTTGAACATGAGCAGAAAACCTGCTGAAACACGGGAACTATTAAAACCTAGGAGTTGATAAATGAAATAAAATGAAATAATGTATCACTGAGGTGAAAAGGCACCACAATCACATTTAAAAAGGCTGCTTTTTCAAAAAAAAAAAACTAAAAGAGGAGAGAAGACTAAATCACTCCTGCAGACATCAACAGGGACGATATTACTTGAGAAACATATCTGAAAGGACCACAGAACACCCGGGAGTCTTCCTGCATTATATTCTGTTATACTTTTATATTTTGAATTGTCACCTGCCACCTGAATTTTGAGTTTTCGTTTACATAAATAAGCACATTTCCACCATAAATGTATGCTGAAAAGGCAGACATTTGTGCAAAAAAAAGTACTAGTATCCAGGAAATTAAGTGTTAATGCTCAGAATTTTAATATAATTCAGCATTGAAGATTTCTAAAAATAGTGTTAAAATCTCATCTCAGTCTCGTGAACCCAATATTGTGTCTCGTCTTGTCTCGTGACCTAAGTGTCTGTCACACCCTCAGCTTTAAATAAAAGGGACAGATAAGATGTCCTCTCAAGGATCAGCTTTTAGAATGGACAACCATTACACCCAAAAAATATGACAATGACATTTCTCAATATCATCCCCACTTTCCCACAGGGATCAAATAACATGAAACATGCAACAGATAGCAGCACTGATACTGACACTGAGTCTGTTGCCCAGATTGAGGTCTATGTCAGACATACAAGCATAAAGAAGAATTAATTCATCTTAATGGAATTTAATTAAAGAAATAATGCTGATGAGGGCTCTGGATGTGGGGAGTTTATTAATAAACTTGGCTGTTCTTCACACTGACACACAACATTTAGTGAAAAGTGTGTGGCATCTCGATGCTCAGATCGAGCATCCACACTGCTGGATGGACTCATCGTACAGTACATTTTCTTCCTTACACACCCCTCTGAACGTTCTTGATATACTCCTCATTCCCTACAAATCTATCTGTGTTAACCCAGTGTTTAATTTGGGTGAAGAAACCAAATAACGTTTCAAAACCTGAATTTAGGTATAAAATTAGGTATTTATGGGGGAAAATGTGATGACGTGATTGCTGCAAAAGATGCATTTCTGGGTGTGTGATCAAGGATTAAAAAACTCAAGATTCTCCATTCAGTTACTTTTTTAACAACCATAACGGTGAAAGCATACAATTTAAAAATTATTTAAAAAATTATAATAATAATAATTATTGTTGAATACTTTAAACTTACACTTTATTTATACAACATAACTTTTTAATGCTTCCTACCTGTGACTATAAACAGCGGACCAGATCTGAGTCTTCTCTATTAATCTCTTCCTCAGTTTCTCCCGTCTGATGTTTCTAAATCAGTTAACCACAGGTCTATCCAGATCAAATTCAAGGAACAGTTGGCTTTTTTTTTAAATGACTTCCTGTCAGCATTTTCCAAAGTAAAACCATTGATTAGGTGCCAAAGCCTGGAGGATTGGCACTAGTGAGGAGTGATTAAATAACCTCTATTTAAAAGATCTGTAATGCATACATTTCATCTTAATGATTTTTAATGTTATGTTTATCTGTGTGCAATATGCAATATTTCTTCAAAAATTACATGAACGATAAGCCAACCTCCCTTAAACTAGTATTTAGTGTTTTGTCATATATATATATGTATATATATATATATATGTATATATATATATATATATATATATATATATATATATTTGTACTGTATTACACATATTGTTTGAGTACAAAATCTTCAGAAACAATGAAAAGATGTCCACTATTTTTTAAATAGTTAATTTATTTCATGCACCGGCTAAATAATAGTGATATGGTTATAGTACGAATCACTAATGCTTGACTCCCAAAACTGTTCATTTCAAACCCTGAATATTAATATTTCAAACGTGAAAATACCCATGAAATAGTAGCCATCACAAAAATATTTAAAAGAAATGCGCATGAATTTGCAAAATAAACTAACACAGTGCTGTTTTCGAGGGATTTAAGATTTCAGCAGAAATATGGGTATCACTGCTTAGAACACGCTTTCACATTTCGCGTTTCACGCTTTTATTCTGAAAGCCAAAATGGGTTCTTCATGCTAAATCCTTTTAGCTTGACACAACTGGAGGGGGTTTTTCTTGAGTCAATATAAATTATCTAAATACTTACTTTCACCTTATTACTATGACACTTATGGAGAAATCATATAAAATAAGTGATGTACTATGCCATTTAAAATAGAACATCATAACAGCAGTTTAAGTTTTGACAAGCAACCACTCTGCTGAAGCCTCTCATTGGGCTAGTCCAGTGTGTCGCAAAAAAATAATCTATCTGCCATGTGACATTGAGCAGATACTGAAATAAATTACAATTTAACCTCAGAGAACAATAGTAGCCTAAAACTTTACAGCAGTGGTAAGCAAACAGTTACATTCTGCCATAGATAAGAAGCACAGGAACATGTTGAAGTGCAATACACGTGTTCAGGTGTAGACTATATCTTGTGGTCTGGTGTGGTCTGATTTTTAATCATTAATGTTACAACTTCACCCAGGTTGTTAAAGGTGCAGAGAAAAGGATTTACAACCACCCACCTATATCTATAGATAGATAATAAGAAACAAAGGCAACAAACCCTGATTATCAGTGTAACCTAACATGTCTGCACTTCATCTGATCTGTAATTATGTAATTTTTAGTTGTAAAACTTTAAAATGTGTTACAACCATCTACAACTAATGAAAATATAGACTTTATTATTATTTTCTTATCTGAAAATCTGTGAAATTTCACATGCAAGGTCATCCCTTCTTGATGAAAGTGGTTCTTATAACTACAGAGCTGCCAACTCTCACGCAGTGAGCGTGAGACTCACACAATTGACCCTTTTCCCACGATGCCACACATCAATTTTCTCACGCAGTAAAAAACATATCCTGTCATGTGCTATAACTGATAATGTTGACTGGTGACGCTACACTACATATGCCATCACATTTTGAGCGTGATAGTAATCAAGTGGACCCACTCTTACGCTGTGAGTCACAGACAGGTAGCGTAACTGGCAGAGTTTTGCAAACATTTAAAAATGAGGTGTTGCCAGCAACAGCAAATACCTATCTGACATTGATTAATTGATGTTTTTGCTATCTTAACATGTAAAAGTACATGAAGGTAAAAAGGCTTACATTCCTACATCATTACATTTAAGACAATGGGATGGTGAGGTGCTGAAGTTAACATTTGTGTGGATTTGTGGTGAGATTTATGCCTGATCAGAAGTGTTTTCAGTTAGTTTAGGTTTTCCACCTCCTTGTCTCATCCAGTAGAGTCTCAGCTGGTTCTGTCACAGAAAACCAGGTCCGATTTTTTTTAGAGAGACAAACTCTTAAAGCAGTATTATGAACCAGGTAGAAAGGAAAAGACATATGGATCTGGTATGGATGCATTTATACAGAACTTTAATGCCAGATTGAATTCTGTAGTGTTTTCAATATCAGCAATATACTTATTTTGCGGACACCTCTCCGAATCATTGAATTTGGGTGTTTCAATCACTTCCATGGCCACAGGTGTATAAAATCAAGCACTTGCAGACTGCTTCTAAAATCATTTGTGAAAGAATGGGTCGCTCTCAGGAGCTCAGCGTATTCAAGCGTGATACCGTGATAGGTTGTCACTTGTGCAAGAAGGTCATTCGTGAAATTTCCTCACTACTAAATATTCCACGGTCAAATGTTAGTGGTATTATAACAAAGTGGAAACGATTGGGAAAAAAAGAAACTCAGAAAAGTGCTAGGCCACATAAAATCAGTGTCTGGGTTTGGTGGTTGCCAGGAGAACAGTACTTGCCTGACTGCATTGCGCTAAGTGTAAAGTTTGGTGGACGGGGGATTGTGGTGTGGTATTTTTCAGGGGTTGGGCTTGGCTCCTTAGTTCCAGCGAAAGGAACTGTTAATGCTTCAGCAGAATAAGACAATTTGGACAATTCCATGCTCCAACTTTGTGGAAACAGTTTGAGATGGCCCCCATCCTGTTCCAACAAGACTGCACACCAGTGCAAAAAGCAATGTCCTTAAAAACATGGATGAGCAAGTTTGGTGTGGAGAACTTGACTTGCCTGCACAGAGTCCTGACCCCCAACGAAATAGACCAATTCACCTTTGGGATGAAAAAAAAACAAAAAGCAGAGACTGTGAACCAGGCCTTCTCGTCCAACATCTGTGCCTGACCTCACAAATGTGCTTGTAGAAGAATGGTCAGAAATTCCAATAAACACACTAGGAATGTGTTGGGTGGGCCAACTCCATATTAAACCCTACAGATTAAGAATGAGATATTATTTACATTTATGTGCATGTAAAGGTAATCGCCCAAGTACTGGCAATATAATGTATCTTTAAAATCATATGCGATTGTTTAAGGATCTCTTAATCGCTTTATGTTTCAGGCTGAAATGTAAAAGGTAATGTCTGATATAATACTGGCAATAATATTACAAGTAGGCTACTACTATTACTAGATACTATTTTCAATTAAAATGTAGATTAATTAAATATTTTAATTAACTAATTTATATCATAATCTGATCTGAAAATAAAACAATATGAGTATCTTATATATATCCAAGGTCAAATTTGGGACAAATATATATATACTGTACATATAGGCCCACAGGTAGACCGTCTGACTGGGCCATGGTGTGGGTGCTTGTGAAAGGATAGTCCTCATGTCGCCCTCTTGTGGAAGCTACAAACAAACCTGACAGTTAAGATGGGCTTTGTATCTACAGGTAGGCACGTTAGAAGGCAAACTGTGATTTTATTTAACGAATAATTACATTGTGGGCTGTTAAATATTACGTTTTACGCTTATTTAAATTAAAGACAGTAAAGTATCGTTAATTTGCTGATCTGGGAAAACTCGCATATGGGCGAAGAACAATCCGCGAAGGTTGTTGTCAGTAAAAACCAAGCCAGAAACAAGCGAAATAAGAGCACTTTCAACTTAATGATTGCAGTATGCTAAGCAGTATTATGTAACGACAGTATACTTAGTATAAATACTTCGTCTCTTCTGAAACTTATCATGGGCTCCCACCGCCCAAGAGTAACATTTCGGTTTTCGGAGTATCAAATTTCGTATTTCCCAAGACGGGTCATGAATGCTTCATTTGTAATTGCTATATTTCCTACAACACGTGAAGGTAACATGTGACTGTTCAGGGTTTGGTCACGCGGTCAATGACATCAGCAAAAGTGTTACGGATGTGTGCAACACATGCAACGACACCGGCGCCTCATCATTTTCATCATCGTACTGCGAGTGGACCTGACTGATACAGAGACTGTTATATGTCGAGTACGGTACAACCAACACCTTTGGATAAACCCGTTTTAGGACCAGAGAGCCTCTGATTAAGCTAACAGTAGTTAGCCTAGCTAGCGTAGCTGGTGAACTTATCGCTGCTCAGTGAGTTAACTACACTCAACTTTATCCAACTCGAGTAAGCTAGCCAGGCAGGTGACGCTGTAACGTTAGCTAAACGCAAGGACGGTCTTTGAACTCTCCAAGGGTAAGATTTCATTTTTGCTAGTTGTCAAAGCCAACAGAGTGGAACACCGGCTGATTAACGTTAACCAGTCCGGCTTCTTTTTGTAACGTTAGTTCGAGGTCATTCTGTGGCGTCCACCTGAAGGGTAACGTTAGCCAGCTGGTTTCGGGAGACTAATTAGTCATGAAGAACCTGCCGTACTTCTGCCGGGGAGAGGTCATTCGAGGCTTCGGGAGAGGCAGCAAAGAACTGGGAATTCCCACAGGTCAGTTAATCATCCGTCATTAATCGGTTTGAGTTTCTCGGTAACCTATAACCTAGTTTACGTAGATGACGTTAAGTCAGAAACCTGACCGTCTGTGGTTATTATGACCTTAATGTTCGCCAGTCCTTCTCAGTTGATTTGACAGATACCTGATTTAACGTTACTGTTCATTCATTGTCGCTGCTGGCCATCAGACACTTAGTTAGCGACTCCGAACAGCAGTGGTGACGACACCTTTCTACGTGACGAACGCGCATTGCTTTTTTTTTATTGCAGTGAGTTAAATGTAATTTTAGTGGCGGGACTTATTACATATTATTTCACCAGAAATAATGGCTATGTAAAGTTAATAACTGTTTCCAGAAATGTCTAGTGAAGTCACGTCTTAATCAAAGTGAACGGACGGAAATACGCAAATGAATGTTGAATAAGTTAATCATCCTGACTTTTGTCACTTATTCTATTGAAAAGCAAATCTGAACCTTGTAATGCTAAATGTTATGTTCTCATTATTCTGATTATTACCATGACAATTTCGAGATGGGGTCCTCAAACTAGTCCCTTCTCACAAGTGTTTTCATATTGGGTTTAGGATATGTTTGTTAGATCACACCTAGCTAACGATGTTGATGCATAGCTTATACTAACAAGCAAACAAACATTGAGGCACAAGATCTAAAATCATAAAGCCTGTGCTTTTCCAGAAAATTATCAAACCATTGTGCAAAGTGCCAAAACTCTCTTACTCTTATTACTATAGTGCAAATCATCCACTTTGTTATCAGAGACACTTAATAAAGAACCCCTTTAAACAGAAACGGGTAGCTTGATTTATCCCCAAAACGCAGAAGAACAGTGAAGTTTAAGAATAAGTAAATAATAAGATTGCTTTTACAGAAGTTGTTTGTGTATAATCATGCAGAGCTTCTGAACAGTTAAGACATTTGCCGTAACCAAACAGTGGGTGCTGTTACAAAGTTAGTTCTATTTGTGGATGAACGTCTTGCCTTGGTTATCTTAACAATCTGTTCAAATGTTTCTCTAAATAGATAGGGTTCTCTAACTTTGAAGATGCTAACTTTTAGGAGGATCTGGCTAACCTTCCCCCCCCCCCCTTCTTCTGACTCTTCCTCCCTTTCTCTCTCTCCCATCAGCCAACTTCCCCGACTCAGTGGTGGACAATCTTCCAGCAGATATCAGCACAGGGATCTACTATGGCTGGGCCTGCGTTGGTAATGGTGATGTCTACAAAATGGTGATGAGCATTGGCTGGAACCCTTACTACAAAAATACAAAGAAGTCCATGGTCAGTACAAGATAAGTGGCATTCACTGCAAACTGCTTGGTGTTTTAGTCAGAAAGTGTGCACATTGCAAATGTATTTCTAAAATGTCAGATTTTGACAATCAAGGGTTTAAAGGCAGTGATTCTGTGGTCAAAAGCCCACTTCTTCCTCCACGGCTTTGGCTGGACCCACAATGGGACAAAAATATTTGAATTGGGGAAAAGAATAACTCAAGACTGCTCATTGAAGTTATGTTACACAGAGCTATACACATCTAAAGAAAGTAAACATCTTATCCTAAATAAATGTATGCATTCATTAAAATATAAATGATCAAACTACATGGTTTCATTCATGACTGCACACAAATGCTTGTAGTGGAATGTTAGAAAAACTGATCATTGTCTCATTCGGTACTATAAGTTACTGGGAAGAGAAATATTATCATATTTCTTTTCCCAGTCATATAGTACAGAAATAGGCATGATTACTCAGTTTTCAGGAATATTAAGAAAAATAGGTAAAATGTCAAAGATCATCTATGCAATACAAATATTACTCATTATGTTTAAACAATCATTAGAATATATTTGTTGGCTTTACTGACTTTAAGACTAGTATGGTGCTAACATTGCCTGGGCTCTGGGTGTCACACTGAATTGGTCTTGTTGTCCCTCTGGAATCAAACTAGGGCTGCTTGAGTATGGCAAAAATCATGATCAGAATTTTTGTCAATATGATTTAACACAATTACTCATTGACTTAAGGCTCGTGCAGACTACACGATTTTCAGCGTCAACCGACCATGTAGTGTGAACTAGGCTTTAGGAAACACCATGCATCCAAGAGAATGACAACGCAGTGTTTCCCCAGAGTGTGTGGACTTAGTGCGCATCACTAATAATGGTGACTATCAAGTAGCAGTTATAATCCCCAGTCGTCTGGGTTTACGGTGAACTAAACATCCCACAGCCTGGCTGAGAGTGACTTTCGCCTTTTAGAGAAGAGCAAGAGCATATCGCTGTAAAGGAAAGGGAGGCACTGGATTTATAACACAAGACCAACATTGTAATTAAAAATAAAATAAGAATAATCCCCTATCTCTAAGTTAAACAGAGAAAGATGTTGGAACAAATTAAATAGTTTTTGTTTGTTGAACTGAACAGCATTTAAGCCTGGCATCATGAGGCAAAACTCTTTTCACTTAAACGGATTCATCGGAGCTGTGGGAAAACCCCACAAAATATGAAGAATAGTATTTATTGTGTCTGGTGAAAAACTTTGGCCAATCAGAGAGTTGGGAAAGTCTTTGTCATGGGTTCACTATTAAACCAAATAAGCAGCAAGCATAGCAATGGAACAATGATCTATATTAAAGAAAAATCCAAATGTTAAAGTTTAGTTAAAACAAGACTAGTGGAATGTCCATTTTTAGAATGAATACTCTTGTGTTGAGAATGTTTTAAGATACTAGTGGTAAAGTTTGCAGTGTAATGCATTTAGAGAAACGTTTCTTAAGTGAAGTGAAAGTACTTATTGGGAGTAAAGTGTTTTGCTCAAAGTTTTGAGTCCTTAAAATATGTCTTAATGCTGTTTTTCAACGTGGTCATCTTTTTAAATTAATATAGTAATGTATACTTCATTCACTCTCCATACATAGCCATTTTCTGTATTTATTTTGCATCTCTATTATGTCATTGTCAGATACAAAAGCAGGGCTCAGTGTAAGCCATTCAAATACATTCTGGTTTGATCACACAACAAGAAGAAAAATGCAGTACATTACATTTGACAGCTGTGGTATAAATAAACATCTTTTTGGTTCCAGGAGACCCATGTGATTCACACATTCAAAGAGGACTTTTACGGGGAGATTCTCAGTGTTGTCATGGTTGGCTACATTCGTCCAGAGAGAAGCTACGATTCACTTGGTACGACACCTTTCACACACACACACACACACGCGCGCGCGCTCCTGTCTTTGTTTATCTGGTCTCATAGATCCCACGCCTTACAGATTGATCTCACTATTTTTCCTCTTTACCTACCATGATTCTCCCATTTTATAAACTCGTCATTCTTCTGTTTGCACCTCTCTCTCACACACACACACACACACACACACACACACACACACACACACACACACACACACACACTGTGTCTTCTGACTTCTTTTGCTGTCCCTAACAGAAGCCCTCATTACGGCCATCAACAATGACATTGAGGAGGCCAAGGTCAAGCTGGAGCTCCCAGAGCATCTCAAACTGAAAGAGGACAACTTCTTCACCAGTGCTCCCAGCTCGTCTTCAGCCCTGCCCTCACCCACCGTGTCCACATCACAGACTATTATGAATGGTCACTGACAGCTGGCTGTGATTGTGTGCACACACCAGAACAACACAGGTTTCTATGTACATGCAGGTGCATGTGTACATACTCATTAAAGTGCACAGCCTCATTGTGAGATCTCATATCTGTCGCCATGGCTGCACATGGACATAATCATTCAACCGATCTTTTTTTATATTGTATTTTTTATTTTTTTGTCACTGTCTGTATTTCATGAGCTGTGTAACGTCCTGTATGGGTTTGTTGCAGACAGCACATATTCACACCAGATTGCATAATCACTCAGCATAACTGTATAAGAAGCTCATGGGTCTCACTTGTCTTGCTGTATATTTGGAATATTTTATGTGAGAAGGTACCTACAAAATTTTGGAATGAGGGGTGACCACATCAACACAAAACCTGAATTATGAGAATGACACAAATAGACCATCTAGCCAAGCTCAAACATTTATTTAGTCCTTTTCTGTTGCGATTTGTTTCTGTGTCAGTCTATTAAGTCTGGGCATTATAATCTGTTACAAAAACACTGGTTGCACTGTTGGATGACCCTATGCAACATTATGGCTAAATGCAAGGCATCTCTTTGAAGACAAGATTAAATTATGAAATCATATAATAGTATTATGCTTGCTCTCCTTTCGTTTTCCTCATGAGAAAAAGTCTTTCGCCTTGTCTTTTGTGACACAAGCCCTCTACTGTTTACCGCTGTCCTAAAATTGAATGGCCATATTACTTGCATTGGACCAGAGATTGGATTTGGGGGTTTTGATGCATTATGCAGAAAAAATCTTTTTATTGTAGACACAAATTATTTAATAGCCATCAGCATGATTATTTGTTAAATAAAATGTGTTCAAAAACATGTTATATAGGCTTTTAAAGTAATTTCAACATATTTGGCATCTGGATTTCCATGGAACTGTTTTTTCATTATCAGCCCATTTCCTCTATAGAGAACTGTAGATGAATGGTAGTTGATCCGTGGAGCACTAAGACTGAATAAGCAAGCAAGTTCTTATGCATGTTAGTTACACTTTTTCACTGCTGCTTGCCTGATGCTCAGACCTACAGTCCACCGGCCTCTGAGTTTGTTAAATAGAGTAAAACATTGATAGGTGCAATTAGATGAAGAAGTATAAGGTCCACAGCTCCTGTTCTGTCTTTGAAGTGTATGAAGTCACATTTATACCACAAAAAGGTGAAAGGATGATCATACAGATGTCTGAACAGAAAATCTACAATACACATAATAAATCTATAGTACATTTTTTTTCTATTACATGAGGTCTTTCAAAATGTTATATATGAATATATATAAAACAACTATTGACTGAACCCTGTAAGAGAAGTAGCTCAGTTTGTTTTGTTTTTTTAGGTCTGTGTTCATGCACCTGTTAAGCTTTACAAAGAACAACAGAGTGTGTGAAGCTCTTTGAAGTGTAAATAATTGTTTTAAATGAATGAAATATATGAGTGTGATTTTGGATTTTAAAGCTGTGTTGCATTTTAGTTTATTAAACTGTTTAGGGTGTAAAATATATAACTGCAATTTATGAAAGTTCATGTGTATCATGCAATATTACCTATGATCCTCTACCATGATAAGCTTACCTGTTTTTCCAGGTACCTTTTCAGTCTCAGTCCTTTTAATCAGTTTAGTTTCTTTACTGGGAACTAAAGTTTCTAAAAGCTTGAAAATGGCATTAAATCCCACCAAAAGAATGAGAGAATACAGGAAGCAGTGCTTCACTGTTATGTTGACAAATGTCTTACTATATAAGGCTATTATTTCATATGGAATGCTGCATTAGCCATTACATTCATCCTCTAAAACACTTAATGTACAAACGAAATCTCACTGTAACTTTGAATTGTAATGTGCTTCTTCTTCTGACCTGTGAAAGAGGGATCTCAACACTTTTAAACCCACTGCATTGATGTTTTAGGGTTAAATGTTTTCCAGGCCAATTTGTTATAATCATTTTTTCTAGTTTGCACAGGGACCAGGGTTACTGCATCTATAGTTAAAACACATCTTTTATGTTTCCATTCTTGTGTTTTATATAATTTAATCAAATAAATAGTTTGATCAAGCCTTTTTGATTTTTTTTTTGCAGCCAAAGAATCTATTAGGGTCTCATTATTGGCTGATACCTTCCTGAATGTTATTGTCAGCAAATATGCACAGATACAAACATCATTTAGCTATATTTTAATAATTTATTTTTAAAAATTACGCAGTTAAGAAAGAAAGAAAACAGTCAACAGGGGACATTCTTTGAAAATCATGTTTACTATATCTATACATTTTAAATGCAAAGTCAAACAGTCACACCAGGTATGTGATTGTGTTTGTGGATAAGTGTCACAGCAAGAACAAAAAGTGTTTTGGCTCTGGAAGGGAAAGTCACTGTATGTGAAGGAGGTACAGTGGCAGATGTCCCTGAAATAATATTGTGTCTATTTGTTGAGTTTAGTATGAGATAAGACACTGGACTCAACCTGTTCTGCTGGAGACTCAGGGTAAAGGTTATATTACCAAAGAAACAACTTAACAGTTATGTTACATGAGCTTCATGAAAATTTGGCTTAGTTTAAGCAGATAAGTAAGTAGAACAATTTATAACTATTTCGGTGTTAAGTTTGGATTTATCTCTTCATTTTCAATTTGTGTAATAAGACTGACAGCTACATGGCAGCATGGACAGCAACAGTGTTAATAATACCTTTTGATACAGTTAAATTAAGACCACACAACATTGCATATATAGGCTCAAACAAAGAATTGTAATTATTTAAAAATAAGTATGCACAAATTGAGCTTTCTTGCAAAACATAATCTCTCCTTTCGTTTTCCTCATGAGAAAAAGTCTTTCGCCTTGTCTATTGTGACACAAGCCCTCTACTGTTTACCGCTGTCCTAAAATTGAATGGCCATATTACTTACATTGAACCAGAGATTGGATTTGGGGTTTTTGATGCATTATGCAGAAACAATCTTTTTATTGTAGACACAAAATACTTAAAAGCCATCAGCATGATTATTTGTTAAATAAAATGTGTTCAAAAACATGTTATATAGGCTTTTAAAATAGTTTCAACATATTTGGCATCTGGATTTCCATGGAACTGTTTTTTTATTATCAGCCCGTTTCCTCTATAGAGAACTGTAGATGAATGGTAGACTGAAGACTGAATAAGCAAGCAAGTTCTTATGCATGTTAGTTACACTTTTTCACTGCTGCTTGCCTGATGCTCAGACCTACAGTCCACCGGCGTCTGAGTTTGTTAAATAGAGTAAAACATTGATAAGTGCAATTAGATGAAGTATAAGGTCCACAGCTCCTGTTCTGTTTTTTAAGTGTATGAAGTCACATTTATACCATAAAAAGGTGAAAGGATGATCATACAGATGTCTGAACCCCGCTCTTCCGGGTCACCATCTCCGGGCGCCCTTAGCGCATTATGAATTCAGATACCACTTAGGAAAAAGGGCGACCTCTGATAACAAGGTAGTTTCAACACTAGGTACTTGCCTTACCGTCTGTAATGAATTTCTAACTCCAGATTCAAAAGTTCCCTAGTCAACCCCTCTCACTTTAGATTCCAGAGAGTAGGGCACTGAACACATAACCTGGAATGTTACAGTTATCTCACAGCGCTTTTCATAAAAGAGCAGGTCTAGACCGTACTCTATGATGCTATTTACAGAAGCCCAACAGTTCCCACCAAGAGCAAGCAGTAGGCGACAGAGGCAAGGAAAAACTTCCTTTTAAGAGGCAGAAACCTCGAGCAGAACCATGGCTCAGGGTGGGCGGCCATCTGCCTCGACCGATTGGGATGAATTGGCCCTTTAAGGAATGAGCTCCTTAAAGGGCCAGTTTGCTGGTTATCTGTAATGAGGTATGTTAATGTAGGCAATGTGGATGTTAAAGTAAGTAAATACTAACTTACCAGTCCAGAAGAGGGGAAGAAGATGAAGACAAATTGGAAAAGCCTTTTAGTTTCTCCCCAAAGAGAAACGTATTTATTTTCAAAATATGCTAAAAAGTGTTTACAAAGTTCTTCACTAAATTCCCTACAATATCCTAGGCTCTACCTGGACCCTCCCAACAAGAGGTTTAGTCCTCCCTTTTTAAAAAGGAGTACCTCTTCCGCCTCACCAGTGAGCTAAACTAAGTATTTAAAAAGAAAAATGAATTAACAGCAGAGCAAAAATCCTATATCTAACTAAACATCAACTCACACCAACTACTTCTGCCCCGAGCTCTAGGGTCAGCAACCTAAATAAAGAAATTGACAGGGAGGACCCCACCCTTTTCTCAAACAATCATTGGCTATCAGAAATTGATCATTACATTGATTGGTTTTTACATTACTTCTACATTTATGGGTAGATGGTCCTTCTGTCCAGTAGTTGTAACACCAGTTTGCCACAGTTCACAAACAATTCTCCAAATAAGGTAATAAAACACATCATGCAGGTCTCTATAACTCATGTTAATATAATCTTTAAATGTTTAACGCATAAAGGCCAAATATAGTAGGCCACACTTCTCAAACAAGAAAAATGAAGATCCCTTCTCTTACATAATCTTAAATGCATGCACAAATAAAAAAATCTGTTTTAAATGCATCACTCTAAATGCAAAATACATTAAATCAATTCATGTCAACACTCATTCTCTTCATCTCTTTCTGACTTAAAAAGGAGAGAAAGGCCTCCCCTGCTCCTATAGTCACAAAATAAGATGCTTGTATCTTTACAACTGTTGATGTCACATTAGCAAATAGTGCCTTCTTTGCTGATCAAAACAATTATTCAGACATCATCGGGGGATACATATAAAATATGTTATCTCAAAAAACAAGTTTTAAAATGTATTAATGAATAAACTCAAATAATATAGATTTAAAAGATGAAAACTCTTTACCCTCTTCTTATTTTCTCACCTCTATTCACGCCTCCACTTGTGTGTGCGAGATACGCATCTGTCGCCAAGGAGACCTCATTTTATATCTGTAAAGGGAGGAGTTGCCAGCAAGAGCAGACTTTCACTTCTTCTTTACTGGACATCAACGTCTAATCTGAAATATAATCATGTACAACCATAGGTCTCTGGAAGCCGAGCAAGCAGTCAACAATTATCAGTCTTAAAACACAAGCCATCAAAGTTAAAACACAGACGAATCACCTTTTTGATTTCTTTCTGGGTCTGGTTTTACCAGCCATTTTGAGCTTCTTAGCTGGAGGTTTTTCTGCCTGTACGGAGACACTTGCCTCAGCATGAGCAACGTTGTCATTTTAAGTACATTTAAAATAATGATCACAATTTACATTTAAGGAATACTTTGATTGGCTTAGCAATGTATTTGAAACTAAATTGATTAAAAGGACTGACACTGAAAAGGTACATGGAAAAACAAGTTTATCATGCGAGAGGATCATGGGTAATATTGCATGTGTTTTGTATCCACAAATATGAAATTGTTAAACCTTAATTCAGTATCCCAATGTTTAAATATACTGCAAAGATGAGTATGTATCACAAAGTTGTCATATAAACACTATTTGATAGAATTGGTGGGAAAATGTTTTTAAATGTTTCACTTTGACAGAAAATATAGCAAGAGAAATAATTTTTTGATTATTATTCATTTTATTTTTTTTATTTTTACCCTTTCAGGACTCATCTCATACTATTGTTTGCAGTAAAATTGCTGAATACATTGCTGAAATCATCGTAATAAACTTATGTTGCTGTATGGCTGCTAAAACACATTTCTTAATCACCATTATAATAATGCTGTATAAACATTATGTTTTGTGAGAGATAGATTCAGGACAGACAGAATGAATGTATTTTTACTTTGGCTCTTATTCTTTCCTTACTCTTAACTCTGACAAGAAGTATATCTAGACAGCATATAGCAAAGTGTAATTGCATAAATACATTTATCCAAAGCAACTTACAATTGTTATACACGTCAGAGGTCGCACGCCTGTGGAGCAACTAGGGGTTAAGTGTCTTGCTCAGGGACACAATGGTGGATATCTCACATTGGGAATCAAACCCAGGTCTCCCACACCAAAGGCAAGCATCTTATCTATGCACCATCACCACCCCATATTGGGATACTGAATTAAGGTTAATTTTGTTTTTTTAACAATTTCATATTTGTGGATACAAAACACATGCAATATTACCTATGATCCTCTCACATGATAAACTTAGATGTTTTTCCAGGTACCTTTTCAGTCTCAGTCCTTTTAATCAGTTTAGTTTCTTTACTGGGAACTAAAGTTTCTAAAAGTTTGAAAATGGCATTAAATCCCACCAAAAGAATGAGAGAATACAGGAAGCAGTGCTTCACTGTTATGTTGACAAATGTCTTACTATATAAGGCTATTATTTCATATGGAATGCTGCATTAGCCATTACATTCATCCTCTAAAACACTTAATGTACAAACGAAATCTCACTGTAACTTTGAATTGTAATGTGCTTCTTCTTCTGACCTGTGAAAGAGGGATCTCAACACTTTTAAACCCACTGCATTGATGTTTTAGGGTTAAATGTTTTCCAGGCCAATTTGTTATAATCATTTTTTCTAGTTTGCACAGGGACCAGGGTTACTGCATCTATAGTTAAAACACATCTTTTATGTTTCCATTCTTGTGTTTTATATAATTTAATCAAATAAATAGTTTGATCAAGCCTTTTTGATTTTTTTTTTGCAGCCAAAGAATCTATTAGGGTCTCATTATTGGCTGATACCTTCCTGAATGTTATTGTCAGCAAATATGCACAGATACAAACATCATTTAGCTATATTTTAATAATTTATTTTTAAAAATTACGCAGTTAAGAAAGAAAGAAAACAATCAACAGGGGACATTCTTTGAAAATCATGTTTACAATATCTATACATTTTAAATGCAAAGTCAAACAGTCACACCAGGTATGTGATTGTGTTTGTGGATAAGTGTCACAGCAAGAACAAAAAGTGTTTTGGCTCTGGAAGGGAAAGTCACTGTATGTGAAGGAGGTACAGTGGCAGATGTCCCTGAAATAATACTGTGTCTATTTGTTGAGTTTAGTATGAGATAAGACACTGGACTCAACCTGTTCTGCTGGAGACTCAGGGTAAAGGTTATATTACCAAAGAAACAACTTAACAGTTATGTTACATGAGCTTCATGAAAATTTGGCTTCGTTTAAGCAGATAAGTAAGTAGAACAACTTCGAACCATTTCGGTGGTAGGTTTGGATTTATCTCTTCATTTTCAATGTGTGTAATAATATTGACAGCTACATGACAGCATGGACAGCAACAGTGGTAATGTGTTCTAATAATAATACCTTTTTATACAGTTAAATTCAGTGTTGGCCAAGCTACTTGGAAAATGTAGTGAGCTAAGCTACTAACTACTCTACATTAAATGAAGCTTCACTACACAGAAGCTACCTCCCAGTGAAATGTAGCAAGCTAAGCTACAGCAACGTGGCAAAAGTAGTAAACTACATCTAAGCTACTTTTAATTTTTTAATATTTTATAGTTAGGTCTATATATATATATATATACACACAATTCCACACAGGCACACACAGTATAGGTCTAGTTTATATTGAACCAACTTCATTCTACAGTAGCAAAAGAAGAAAGACTAAAAACCTGCTCCAAACAGAGTGTGTGCATGAGAGAGCGCTAAATCAGACACACAGAAACTCTCCTACTTACTGCCATATCATTGCAGTAAAATGTATTTCCTCATGCAACAAACTGAGAACTATTGTTGTTTGTATAAAGTTACTTAATTATGACATTATTATCTTTATTATTGTTTATTTTAAAATTCTTTCCTTTGAAAAATTCTTGTCAAAAAGCAAGACATATTTTCAATGTAACATAGGCTTATATTGTGTTTTTGTTGTTTTTTCCTTCTTTCTTTAGTTTTTATGATGTCATTTCATTGTTTATTAATTATACCTTTTTTATTGTTTATATGTGAATTTGTGCTCTGGCAACATTGCAACCCAAACAACCTAAACATTCATGGCAATAGGCCTGAGAGAAAGAGAGAGGGAGAGACATCTCTCATCTCATGTCATGGAAACAAGTTTCTGCCACTACATATCAAATTTTCCTCCTCACTAGAGTAAGAAGTGTCCAGGCTGGACCCTGATCCTTCTCACAAGAGGTGTTACAGTAACTATCACAATAGAAAGTAAACTAAATCGCACGTGTCCTTATTCCCCTGCAGCAAAGTCTCAGACATCAGCCCAAGGATCGGTACGTGATGTCACCGTCACACATTGAAGCGCATCTGCTGGCTGCACATACATGTCCGTGTGTGGCGGTGGCGAGGTACTTGCCTGATCGTCTGTAATGAATTTCTAACTCCAGATTCAAAAGTTCCTTAGTCAACCCCTCTAGCTTTAGATTCCAGAGAATAGGGCACTGAACACATAACTGTAGACCATGGTTATCTGTAATGAGGTATGTTAATGTAGGCAATGTGGATGTTAAAGTAAGTAAATACTAACTTACCAGTCCAGAAGAGGGGAAGAAGACGAAGACAAATTGGAAAAGCCTTTTAGTTTCTCCTGGGGCGTTCACCCAAAGAGAAACGTAGCCTATTTATTTTCAAAACATGCTAAAAAGCGTTTACAAAGTTCTTCTAGGCTCTACCTGGTCCCTCCAGACAAGAGGTTTAGTCCTCCCTTTTTAAAAGGAGTACCTCTTCCGACTCACCAGTGAGCTAAACTAAGTATTTAAAAAGAAAAAGGAAGAGCAAAAATCCTATATCAACAAGGGACATTCTCTGAAAATTATGTTTATTATATCTATACATTTAAAATGCAAAGTCAAACAGTCACACCAGGTATGTGATTGTGTTTGTGGATAAGTGTCACAGCAAGAACAAAAAGTGTTTTGGCTCTGGAAGGGAAAGTCACTGTATGTGAAGGAGGTACAGTGACAGATGAAATAATATTGTGTCTATTTGTTGACTTTAGTATGAGATACACTGGACTCAACCTGTTCTGCTGGAGACTCAGGGTGAAGCTTATAATACCAAATAAACAACTTAACAGTTATGGTACATGAGCTTCATGAAAATTTGGCTTAGCTTAAGCAGATATGTAAGTACAACAACTTGGAACTATTACGGTGGTAGGTTTGGATTTATCTCTTCATTTTCAATTTGTGTAATAATACTAACAGCTACATGGCAGCATGGACAGCAACAGTGGTAATAATACCTTTTGATACAGTTAAATTAAGACCACACATTGCAGAGGCCAATATATTTAAAAAATAATATGTACAAATTGAGCTTTCTTACATAACACAATCACATGTTAAATCCAATATGAACATGTTACTAAGCTCAGCAATTACAGGGAACAGCTAACAGCAGTCACCTGTGTGTTAAATTGCAATACTTATCCAAATCCACCCACTTCAACTCTCGTACATCTGCAGGTTAGTTCACCAAGAATGCACACCCACAGTACAGATCAAAATCCAACTTTATTTTGAAACAATCATTTAAAGCATATTTCACCTCAACCAAGTACAGAGAAAAACTTTTAAAATTCACTCCACACTTTTCTAGTAAGTTTGATGCAGACATGCAGACATTCAGACATTAGAGTGAAAAAGTCTTAATAAATCTTCTCCTGCAACTTTCTGCAGATCATGCTTTTATTGTTGCCTGAACCAGAAGAAACTATCTATCCATCCAGCCATCGTCAACCGCTTATCCTGCGTACAGGGTTGCGGGGAACAAGAGGAAACCCCTGAGAAAATATTTTCCTCTCTGTGTAAACTAACAAGAAAAGATCCAAACAGTGCACACAGCATTACAGATCACACTGCGCTTTTTTGCTTTGATTTTAGGTGACTCCTGTAAAGCGATACAGTCCTGTTTACAAATTAAACAAAGATGCAGTATAACACGGTGAGTACTGACAGTAATATTACAACAGTGATAAATAAGTCCTTCAAACCAGGCAATGTAGAAACAGAGGAAGTATATTGAAATGATCAGTAAACCTGGTTATTAATAACATACAATTTGCAATTAAAAGTAGTATTGATGTGACTGTGTTTTATCTTGTGTTTTGTCTTTGAAAAATCCAAATTCTGTTGGTATTAAGTCTACCCCTGCAACTCATATCAAATATAAGTATATTATTGTGTAAGATTGTGATTTATCTAAGCAATATGAGTGGATAATAGCTATTATATGATGTAAACAGAGAATATTTTCTTCAAATTAAATTTTTGCCATGAAGAAAATGGAAAAAAATAACACAATAAAATGTATATGATTGTCAACACTTGCAACCTTTGTTACACATCATTCCTCTCTCTTTCTTCTTATCTGTATGAGTAGCTCTCATCATCATACTCTAGCTCAATCTCATCTTCATCCAAGAGTCCGTATTTGAACTTATGATACACTGTCCCATCTTGTCCCATGTACACAATATCATCATCATCATCATTGTCTTCCTCATCATCCTCACATTCAATGATTCTGTCGCTATACTCCCCAAATGAAGAGGTGGTGGGTTGTGAGGCAATGCCTCCATTGGTGTTCAGTTTCACATAGCCTCCAGCTTTGGTTTTGGGTGCAAATGGTTTTGATCGAGCATTGCAGAAGTGGAAGACCCCTCCGCCCACAGAGAGGATTAGTAGAACACAGGCAGTGACAAAGAGTTTGGCCGTGCTGCCTTGAGTATCCTCACCTTTCCTCATCACAAAGTTTACACCCAGGATGCACTCCACTGAGAAGAAGGAGGTGAAGCTGACCATTAGGTTACATAAATTAATGACAAAATTAATCTGTTCCTGACGAATCGTGTCTAGCATGAGTGAGACTCTTCTTCTTTCACTTCTTTCAGTGAAATGCAGTCTTGTCTGTGAATGGAAATTTTCTTGTAATATGGTACAGATATACCATTGTTCTAAAATACTGGAAACCCCTGTTTGACAGGAAGATGAACCCCATGTCTACAGGGTGGGGAGGCCATAAATAAGAGGAATAATACAGGGCAACCATTACAAATGAAAGATGTCTTGAGAGGATGTGAATTTTGACTCACACACACACAAACACTATTTTCCAGGACAGAAAGAAGTCTAAGTACAGTATGTTCAGAACAAGAAATTAACTTGACCAGATGGAAGATACAATGGATGAACAAGCGGTTCTTGCTTACCCAGTGATGCCTTGCAGTCACAACACTCCCTTGGTATCGGTTTATCATCGTGGCGTGTCTCATTTCCACAGCAGGTCAAACAGCGGCCATCATCAGACAGGATCTGGAGTGTGGGGCACACTGTGCAGTTCCACATGCTGGGACCTCGGCAGTCCAGGCAGGATGGGTCACACGCCTTGCAGTTTGGCTCATCGCTGTTGGACTCAGAGCCCTGGAGCAACAGAGGAATTTGTCACACAGCAGACTCAGTGTCACTTTCACAAAATGTATCTCCAAATACTCCTCATTGACTCACAGAGCAGCCTAGCCAAACTGCAGCTATAGCTCCAATAGGTTTTTTTTCATGAGGCAAATGTGAAAGGGTAGTTGAATATAAACAAATATACTCTATGTAAGAAAGCAGTCTGTCACCTGTGAGGCAGCATAGAAGCTTAGGAGACACTGGGATTCACAGATGCCACCCATAAACGTGTAGCCTTCATAACAAGACTGACAGGCCAGAGCGCCCTTATCTGGAAGGAGAAAGAGAAAGAGATGTCAGACAAGAGAAAAAGAAAATAGTGTCAAATGTCATCACATGACTGAACTGGAGTTTCCAAATGAAAAGCATGTCTAGGCACAGAAAAAGTATGTCATGGCTTAAAAATAAAACTTTTATTATATTAGTGTGACAGACATGCTTATTTAAGAATATAGAGATGTGATGTGAAATATTTTTATTCTGGGTTTAACTTAGAGGTTTAAGAAGCCGACAATGAAAAAATGTCCCTGCTTCGAGTTCAGCCAGGGACCTTGTTACTTGTCGTTCCTCTCTCTTTCTCCCCTTATTATCTGTCAACTCTCCACTGTACTCTCGGATATGAAAGTAAAAATACTTTAAATGTATTTTTGTTTCCTCTTTACCCTTGTACAGTGTTCCCAAACATGTATCCCTACAATAGAACTCATTATAATGGGCATTAATTCTTGTTGTTGCAATTTAAGAAGAAGCCTAATGAAGAAGTGCTCTTCTAGGGAAAGATGGTTCCTCATCTTATTTGGCATCAATATCCTGAGCTAGTGTATGATGTTCACTTGTGATAAATCTGTTTGTTTTACTGTTCATGATTGCCTTTATGACTGCCTCAAACCATATTCCACATTTGCACAGTATCATCAAAACTATCTATGGTTAACTTAACATTTTTCTGTCTCCTGAAAAACAATATAAATACTTTGAGTGTAGAAATGTGTTTAATTCCTGATGATGGTTCTGATGTTATGATGATGGTTTTTATGTCATTGTGAACCCCCCCCCCAAAAAAAACAACAACAAACAAGCCATGACAGGACTCCTTTACCAATGCAGGTCTTGCAGGTGGGGTGACACTTGTGACAGGTTTTGGACCGACTGTCCTGGTAGTAGCTTGGAGGGCAGCTCTGCAGGCACTGCCCCCACTGCCTCAGGTAGACGTAGTCCTCCCGACAGCTCAGACAGTTTCTGTTACCAGGACCCCAACATTGGCTGCAGGAGGGGTCACACCGCTCGCAAACCATAGAGGCGGTGTTGCCAAAGTGACTGAAAAGCAGAGAGGGTGTTTAGTTTATGATGTTCTTTGATGTGGAGACTTTGAGTGTCTGTGTGTTCTTCTAACCTCTCTGAACAGAATTCGACGCAGCTGCTTCCCTGCTTGAAGAAGCCAGTTTTACAGGTGACACACTGCACACTGTGGCGACCAGCACATGACTTACAGCTGAAGTGACAGCGCTCACACACACGTTCGTCCCTGTCCTCAGCATAGTAACCCACAGGACACTCCTGCACGCATGTGCTGTCTGAGGGACACAGACACAAAGTTACTTTTTTAAAGCTGTTTCCTTTTGGTGGATAAAATAAAGGAGCATCTAGTTTACAAAAGGTTAATCCAAAATATTTTCTGCTCTCTCTCTGGGTTATTTTGATAACATACTCAATAGGAAGTGTGGCTCGTTGCAGCTGAGGCATAGGTCTTTGCCTGGCCCAGAACAGCGATGGCAGTATTCGTGACACTGTTGGCACTCCCCATTCTGGTCCATGTATGAGCTCAGAGAGCACTGACTGAACCACACACAATGTCCAGTGGCATCCTTACGCCTTTTGGTATCGCAGCTGAGACAGGATGAGGGCTCATGGCCTGAGCAGGTCAGACATGACCTGTCACAATCTGGGAAATTGAAAAGCAATGAGACACGGTCAACTAATGCATCCTGTAATGATGGAGTAGATTTTTTATCCTTATTTTATTTTGCATGATCAAAATAACCTACCTCTACATTCATTGGTAGTTGCATCATAGTAAGTGTTGTTGGGACACTGAGACAGACACTCTCCATTGTAACGGACAGCTTTCTGGTTGTGACACACATCACAGTCATCAAAGCCCGGTCCGTCACACGAGGCACAATCAACATGGCAACGCACACACTCCTGTTGCTTCTCGCTCGCAAAGAATCCATCAGGACAATCATCCACACACTTATCATCATGGAGAAAGTAGTACTGTGCACACACTGGGAGAGAAAGAAAGAGTAATGATAAGAACGGCAAAACAGTGTTGTTTACATTTGGACTGAACTCTTTGTGGAGTGCATTTGACCTTTTTCAAATCTCTTCTTCCTTCCCTCAGTGAGCCCTCAATTCTTCATACTGGCTTGTTTTCATTATTGATTTTTCACTTCTATAACAACATGCAGTCATCAATAAAAGCCTTGTTTGTCTTTATGCCCAATGATAATAATACAGCTACCACTGAAATAATCAAAGAAAACATGTATATCATCTTCTGTATGTCCTCCCCCTCCTCTTTTCTGCTACTCCAACACCAAACAAAGTCACCTTTTAAAACAACACCTCTCTTCAATTCTCCTTCCATTTCTTTACCCATCACAGTTCGACCCAGCATACTTACTGTTGCACAGGCCTTCTTGATTGCACTCTCTACAGTGAGCTGGACAGTGACGGCATTCTGTCTCGGTGGCATAATAGCCCTGTAGACAGCGTGACCTGCAGGAGTGGTCCAACAGCAAGTACGGTCTCTCACAGCTCAGACAGTGAGAGGAGTTTCCCTGGCAGGATGTACACTCTGGGGCACATGGCTGGCATACACCACCTTGAGGAAACCCTCTGAGAGGCAGACAGAAGAGAAAAGGAGGTATGATATCACTGAGGTATCATGATGATGCGTGTTCATGTGTAAGTCAAAAAATTAGAAAACAAGACAAGCACCTCTGACACTCCACCACACATGCTCCGTTGTGCAGGTAAAGCCCACTGCGACAGCGCAGGCACAGCTGGCCGTCCTGACACATGACACAACCTTTTGAGCAGTGTTCACATTGGCTGGATGCCTTGTTGGCAAACGTACCAGATGGACAACGAGACATGCAGGTCTGATGAGGAGTCAAAAAACGACCTGAAGAAATGACGAAATCACACTACTAATACAACAAAATGAAGAAAGAACAGAGAGGTGTTCACTTGTTTAAATTTAAGTAAGATTCTTTGTCATCCTTTTCACACTGCCTGCTAAAGAAAAAACATGTATTGATTGATTGATTGCAAGTTTGCTTAAAACATCTCATACAAG